TTAAAACATTTGTTTGTGTTGTTTAGTTACTGAACGGTGTTCACTAACTGGACGGTCCACCATATCCTACGTCTAACTTCAAAAGCTCGTAACAAATGTATATGATTTCCAGGGAAACTTTTTTTTTGTCAAGTGTAGGAAAACTTATGGGGAATATTATATTAAATTTTAAAATCTTAGATATAAATAAAACATTTTTTATGAATTTCTAAACCAAAATAGTTTGCAAATTTTTGTTAATTTGACGACTTTTGTCAACAATTTTAAATTCAAACGATTAAATAATATAAATATTGCGGATTTACGACCAACTTTTTTTTTTTCATTTCCACTATAACAACAATTTTTGTGGAACCTACATCAGTAGCGGATCTGAAGCTCATTTAAGGAGGAGGCGAATTGGTATCATAGAATTTCAATATATACATATTAGTCAATAAACATCTGTTATTTATATATAAAAAAAATTAAACCGTATAAAAATTCAACAGTCTTTTATTCAATATTAAATAAACAAATATATTAATAATTTATTTGAGCAACAATTGTATGGTTCTTTTTTTAAATTAAGATTAGCTAATGATATTATAAAAATCTAATTTATAATCCTGATTCACTCACAAATCCTTTGCTCAAAGTGGAATTATAAGGAAAAAACTTTCTTTTGCATGCCTAAATAGTTAAATAATACCTAGTCCCACTTAGACTTATAGAGATAAGTCTGATAAGAAACTTATAAGTTGTATTAATTATATTTTTTGAATCCACAATCAACATGGATGACGCCATTGAATATTGATGGATACCTAACTGCCAAAAACTTTGTCCAAATTAAAAGATCTAATTAGGAAAAACTGTTTTTATAAATATACATTGGTATACAACATTATAACCTAACATATACCTAACTGCCAAAAACTTTGTCCAAATTAAAAGATCTAATTAGGAAAAACTGTTTTTATAAATATACATTGGTAATTGGTATACAACATTATAACCTAACATATAAGTCCCAATACAAAAACTCAAATACAAATTACTAATATTATGTAAATATGTAATTGGTAAATAATTCTACATAATATAATAATAATGTAATTAATTTTAATATATGTAATATGTATTATTAGGTATATATTATACACAGTATTACAATAAAATCACATTAAACCTATACACATAGTTGGACAAATGCTTAAGTAAAAAAAAAAATTGATAACGAAGTTATCATATATCAAGTTTTTATAATATTACAGAATTTTTTATATTAAAAAAATTGAAATTTAATATTATCCGGTGATTTATAATCATCATTATTATACACCTACGTTAATTGCATAACAGTATGTAAAACAAAATGTTTATAAAAATGCTTACAACATTTTAAAACTATTGTATTATTTTATTTAACTACAAAAATGTAAAATATAATATTATTGATTTTTTTCTAGACTTCTAGATTTGTTTTTTTTTATTATTTGTTTAATTCTTTATAACTGATAAAATGACACGTCTGTCGTGTGAGCAACGCGGAACTTAACTAAACCAAAACCTTTAATAAAAGTAAACATCATAAATCATATACATCATCTGCAATTATACCTTTGTAAACGCGGAAAACTTCAATTGTTTTGTATACAATAGTTTTTTGCATACAAAACAATTTAACCACACGTTTATGTTTAGTATATACCTACGGGTTTTCAGATCATTATTTTAGTGTCTCATCTCTTACTTAATGTTTGAAGAGTAAAGACTACATTTTTAATTCCAAGAAAATGACGAGTAGTAAATATAATTTGTGTTTCTTGGCACTTGTACTTTTTATGACAAACATAAGTTCTGAAAATGATTTCCTCGATCATACACGGTCAACAAAACTATGTAAGACTAATCCAAATAATATAATACAAATAATATTAAGCTTAACAATATTTTTTCACAGCTAAAATATTACGACCATGTCATCGAAGTGATCCAAATTTGAACGACTGTATAAAATGCGCCATCGAAGACCTGAGGCCATACTTGGCAAGAGGTAAGCTATTAATTTATTTTTATTTGTGGTACCTACATCAATAATGGTTTTAAAAACTTATTATTATTTTACATAATTAGCTTTAACATTATTTATGCTCATCATTAGCCATGAGCAGAAAATGGTTAAATCAAAAACGTATTAAAATTTATTTTAATGTTGATGATTTAAAATTTGAATGGGGCCATATCCATAAATATATAATATTGTTATTTTGTTATACAGAATTATAAATTATAATCACTTAAGACTAATTATTACTTAAATTTGTTTATAATTTTAATTTCTTACACCAATTTTACTGTCTTCATGTTTTACATTATTTGAAAATCTCGTTTCAAATTAACCACATTATATTTTGAATCTTGAAAATGTTATGTCATCACACTTATACACGAATATTTGGAAAATTCTGAATTATATTATATTTATAACCTATGGAATTAATAACAAAATATGACAATTTAATTCTTTGAAAATCTTTAATCGATGAAATTTACAAGTATGTTGAGGACTAAAATATGATTTTAGTAAAACTATAATATTACAAGCTCTTTTCAACGTTGGTACTTCATGTTGTAGTAATTCTTAAAGTATTATTACATTAATATTTTGATCCTACTTTATATGTTTATCAGGAATTCCGGAATTATTTATACCTTCGTGTGAACCACTTTACATACCTGAAATTGTGATGAACCAAGGCAACAAGGGAAGTGTCAGCGTACAATCAATTTATAGAAATATTAGTGTGTATGGGCCGAGTCAATTTATTTTAAAAAGTGTCAAGTAAGTTATAAAGTTAAAATAAAATATTTCAATTTACTTTTTATAGTTCCTGATAACTTTCATTTTTTTAAACATTGTATTTTTCATATACCTAATATTTTTTTTTAGTTAACAATTAAAGTCATTACTCATTATACTTCATAACTACACAAATTAATCTTTCAATTTTAAGGATATACATAATTCAATTGTGGATATCAATAATTTATTATTATGATTATATTATTCAGAGTGGATATGGAAAAAGAGAGGATTCGAATTAAAGTATGGTTGCCTCATCTGTATATGACAGCCAACTATTCAATCGAAGGCAGAATTCTTATGTTACCCATTTCTGGGCATGGTATAAGCGAGGGAAATTATAGTGAGCCATTTCAAGTCTATTTTTTTTAAATTAAATTTAATTTTGGTTTCCTCGTGTTTTAGCAAATATTGAGGCTAATGTACTCATTCAAGGTAATACTATTCAAATTGAAGGTAGAAATCATTTCAATGTCCAAGATGTAGCCATTGATTTTCAAATCGGTCATGCAAGTATTTACCTCAGTGACTTGTTTGAAGGCGACTTGGAACTTGGTAATATAATATACTTACCTACTCATAACTGTAATCTACTTAAGCTACCTAGTACCTACATGTAACATCAATATAACTATAAAATAAAAATACATTTTATCTAGTATAGGTACTGATTATTGATAAATATTTTGAAAAACTCCATTGAAACATTTTAGAATAATAATTACATGATTTATATACTAATACCTAAGTTAAGTTATAACTTTAATCCAATTGTTGTATATTTTTCATATTTTACATAAAACATATTATCTGAAAACTTCGTTTACAAGAAAAGTGTTAAGATTATTTTTGTGCTGTGTCATATGTGTCATGAACACATAATAATAAGACTTGGCAATAACAACCCAGTGCCTAACATTGAAAATGCAAAACAAATACATTAATTCAAAATACAATATTTTTAAAACGCATAATATTATTCAAAACAAATTAAATTTCTTTTTAATAATTTTGTTTACAGGTATATTAATATGTATATGTAATACATGATATACTTGAACTTGATATAATACGCATGTAATTATACTCAAACAAATTTTATTTTATATTAAAGTACAATAATAATAATGTATTAATAGTATATATTAGTACCTATATTTACTTTTTTTCTCTAATGATTTTTACAGTCTGTATGGAACACGGATAGATGTATAATAAGAAAATGTGTTGAAAGACATACACGACTTCTTTTGTTGGATATTTACAACTTATACTTTTACAGTTCTACCAACCATAGCTATTTAATAACATGGTTTTATTTGCTCATAGGCGAAGCGATGAATACATTTTTAAATGATAATTGGAGACATGTTGCTCAAGAATTCAAACCTATTCTCGAAGAAACGATTGGTGATCTCTTCAAAAAATTCGCCAACAAATTGTATCACAAATACCCGATAGAGGATTTTCTACTAATTTAAGTGTTATTGTGTGTTGAAGTAATCCATAAATTATGTGTAAATATTTGGTGTTCTTTTTAAACATTTTTTTATTCATATTTGTATTATGATTATTATTATTATTATTATTTATTATTAACGTCGTACCTATATATTATAAGGTTTTTCAATTACAACAAATAATACGTTTCATTAAATACTTGTCGTGTTATTTTTTAAATAATTGTATCTTTCGTTACACTATGTTACAATGTTACATAGTGGGTACTCGATAATTCGGTATTAAAAAATAATAATAAACATATATATAATATGTGTATGTACATTATATATATATACCGTAGACCAATCAAACGTACCGAACGTACGGACAGCCGACGGATAAAAACTTTCTCTGTCGACCACGTTCAAACTAGTCTTCTTCGGCGCTTGTAATATTACGCCGGTCGCAAGTATTACGCCAACATTCTGTGTGTCCGCTGTCTGGTACGGATTTGGTCTGTTTTATTTCCTTCTCTCGCGGACGATTTCTGCAGGATAATTTGTACGGTTTTTTTGTGTTTCAATCGACGTTTGTCACTATAACGTGCACATAACACCGCACATCCCCGTGAAGTCACGATCACGAAACACCTGTGCGAGCGTACGACATACGACTACAACAACCTGTGCGAACGACCGACCAAAACAGGATGTTGCTTCTTACGGCTATAGTCGTGTGCGCTACAACCCTCGGTTGTATAGCGATGATTCAAGCCAGCGGCAGCCAAAAGCCAATTCAACAAGACCAGATACCGCCACTTCAAACAGCACGTAAGGATTTATAGTGATTAATAATTTTAATAATAATATATAGTTATTAGGGTTAGGCCGTTAGGGTTATAACATATAATATATTTTGTTATATTCGTTATAATATAGTTTTCCGATGACGGATTTTTTACGATTTTCTTCTGACTTCGTTGGTCGACGCTTTTTAATCAGGTGGGTCGTGGGTGACGTAGTTATTCGATTGTTAGACGTGAATCCATACGACCATACCTATATAATTCTGACAAATCACTCTAGGTTGCTTTGTACATCATTTTTGATTAAAAAATATTGTATCACAATATTATATCGAATGTGCGTTTGGTAATCAAAATCGTAAATCGTTTATCGTTACACAGTGGACCATATTCGATCTTTCCGCAGGAATGCATATTTTTTTTTAAATCTCGGGTAACCCCTCACTAAACTTAATTCAAACGTACCTACGTCTTATATTTCTATACATTCGATTTGCATATCCTCGGAACTGCTTCGTATAGGACTACCTATATCACGTCCATTGAGTGATTGACTACCTATGTACAATATATAGATAGTATCACGCGACGTCAGATATATTTAGTGTCGCACGTATATTGTAATCGTATGTAATAGATGACTTACAAAAAAAAAAAAAAAAACGATCAACGAGATAGTATACGGGGTGTACCTATGCCAAGCTCAATATTGTAATATTATATTGTTGCCTCTGCCGCCGACCCCGAGTAGCGTTTCGCAACAACCCCGAGCATTTCTTTAAGCATTCCGGGCACGAATTTACTTCCTAAACAGGTCAAAAACTATCGGCTTACACATAACGCACAAGGCGACAACCATTGAACCGGTGCACGACTAGGTCGTGAACATCATAATAATAATCATCATCTATTTTTCATCTGGCTTCTCGAATTCTGTATGATAGAACAATACGCCTATATAATATATTATTGTCATGTTCAATATCGCTTTATATAAGAAAACTATTAAGCCCAATGTTTTAAATGTTTCGTTTTTTCGACCCACTAAATAATAACGCAGGTACGCCAAATACGTAACACACACCAATGGCACTTTGGCAGCACACGTTCCATAATAATATAATATATGTTCTACACATAAAACTTACGCATTGTCTTCATACATATGGGCACTGCAGAATATGTATGTAGTATGTATATTGTATATAGCACATATATATATATATGTATATATATAGGTATAGGTGCCACTATATAATATATAATACGAGTAATAACCATAATAATAATATGTAATAACCAATAAGTAATAAACCATTATAAAGCTATACCTATATGGTGAGTATTATAATATTATTTATATAATATATATAGGTAATAATATTGTAGTAGTTATAGTATACGTCGACGTCACCGCGTGTACAGTCGTCGCCACCGCACACGATCGAGTCCCTATCGAATTATGTAAGAACGAACGTTTTTTTTTTGCGCACAAGCGACGGATCGCTTTGGCCGTGTGTATAGGAAATAGGTAATAATAATAATAATATTTTATGTGTACGTCGTCGTCGTCGTCGTGCGAGTATATTATAATGTTGTAGTTGTTACTTGTTTGTTTATTATTATAAAATATATCGGCATATCGCCTTAGAGCGGCGGACACATTATTATTATTATTAATAATATTATAACCTGCTGTTGCTGCGCTGGTCCGGCGACCGACCCATTAAGTAAGCGCCCTCATTAATGAAAGTGCGTTCGAAACGTCTGTAATAAAAAAAAAATTTCCTATTTCTCTCTCACTCGTTTTTCTCCGTATATATTTTATGCGGTCCCACTTGGTCCCAGTGAAAGCAAACCACACGTGTCCGGCGACGCGCGCGAGTTTGTAGCGATAATAATTTAAAGATTATTACCTATACCCACTATAACCGTAGGTACGTATATATATATGTATTATTACATAGGTAATTATACGTTTATAATATACGTGTATATATACGGTCGATTATGCGGATGAAAACGAATTCGGAAGACGTATATATTATTACTATTATATGCTATAGGTACCGCGAAGGAGATTAAATGTATATTATAATAATATTAACATTATACGAGGATTAGGTATTAGGAGCCGGTATAGCCATGTATATATACGCAGACAAACGTAAGCGAGTATCGATGTTTTCATAAATTTTTATGTAACTCCTGAACTCGATGCAGGACATCTCGTGATCCGCGAAATAGGTAGGTAGTAGCTTTGAGTATTTATTTTATTATATATATATACTCAATGGTAGAAGGTACCTACTTGGTTACTTACAATAATAGAGGCGGTGTACGGACTGCGTTTATATACCGTCATACCGGAGTGTGTATTATGTTATATAAAGCGTTGTACATGTATAATAATATAATACTATTATATGGGTACCTAGTATCTACATAACAAATCATTTGTGGTGTACCTATAGTATTAAAGTTTGAATTTATATGAAATTACTTGTTGGACACATAATACCTCTGTAGCTATAAACTATAATGTACGTATTAGATATTTATATATCAGTCAAATCATAAATACAACTTCTTACATGTTGAAAATATACCTAAGGTTACATAATAATGTATTTACTTAAAATCGTATACCGCAGGAAATACCTATCAGAAATGAATACATTGAGTTTAATAATTAATTTTAAACTACACACCATAGAGTTTTAAAGAACCTCAAGAAACATAATATTATTTACGGTCTATAGGTATGTCGAATAATTTTCTGATTATAATAAAAATATTTTTTACATAAAGGTACCTAGTCAGCCATTTATTAGGGTATTGTTTGAAAGTTCGAAGAAGTTGATTCAATGATACTTGTATATAAAGGAAAAACTTCAATATTGTAATTTGTAGGTAGATATTCTGCACAATCTACTTCACTCTTATAAATATTTAAATAAGTAACGAAAACCAAAATTCACCTTCACAGATCATCTCTTATATCACAATCAATTAAAAATGTAAATTCACTAATCTCCCTTCTTTCTTGCGATCTAAATACATTTATTGCAAAAGGTATTGTTTCTCCCTAGTCTATTCTTGTTTAATATTTCTACACTTATAAAGATATAAATTATAATTATCATCATGATCAACTCCTACATAATTCCTTCATTAGTTTAAATGTCAATTATAATCTTTTGTACCTCAACAATTGTAATCATTCATAATGTTATAATATTGTTGTGTAATATATATTTATATTAATATTGTCAAGCTATATTGAGTAATAAGTAATATCTAATAGACAATAGCTAATAAAAAAAAAATGTATTGAGAGTATATAGAAAATTATAATTTAGGGGGATTCAAACAGTAATTTTCTGTCTTAGTCCAACACACGTGGAGACCACTGAGACATAGGATTTTAGACGTGTTCTTTGCCAAACATACCAATTGATCTAATGAAGCGATGAATTTGTCGTTAAGTCTACTTGAAATCGAATTTCCCACATTTTTTATTTTAACATCTCCAAAAACTTTAAAAACCACATTTAATCTTTTTAAAATAACGTTTTTAAGAATGTGAGAGAAAATATCAAAAATGTGGGAAATTTGATTTCAATTAAACTTGACGACAAATTCAAATCTGTTTTCAGAATCCTAATCGCTTCATTAAATCAATTGGTATGTCTGGCAAAGAACACGTCTAAAATCCTATGTCGCGCGTGTGTTAGACAAAGAGAGACAATCACCGGGTGGAATCCCCTCAAGTATAATAGCGGAATGTTTCAAGTATCAAGTGTATCTGTGTATACTGTATACCTCATTAGAAAAATAAAATCGTTTGATAAGAAATATTTATTTTACGCGTGAATATCTTAGTTCGTCAAATTTTAACTCAAGAGCCCACAAAAAAACATTTGTGCAATTACAATCAAATTTTATTAATATAGTTCTTACAAGAAAAACTTACATGGAACCTTATTTTACATTTTCAAACCTTAAGTATGAATACTAAAAATTATTTGAATTTTTAAATACTAAGTCATGTGTGAATTTTCTCGTTTCTTATTTCTTATGAATTTGTTGTGAAATGAAACGTTCATAAAAAATTATTTTGGAATTTCAATACTTCATTATTGACATATTTTGTAGACAAAAAACTAAAAAAAGTAGCAGAATACTTCAAATCTGTAATTAGCTCAAAAAGATTTTTTAAATTATGCTAAGTATACAAAATTCTAATACAGACATTTGTTATAAATTGCAAGTATACCGCTAGGGTTACTCTCATATAAATTCGTCAAAATTCTATCTTTATGCGTTCATAAAAATAATATTCCGCATTTACACTCCATTTGTTTTTTAATTAAGGTAACTTATAATAAACCTTGTGTTAAATTTTTAAGATTTTAGACTAAGCCAACATTTTTTTATCAACTTTTATAGAAAATAAACTAAAAATGCAGATAAGTGGGTGTCACTCTGCTGTACAGTAGGTTACAAATGGGTCACTGTAATGGATGGTGTTAAATTTGAATTCAATATTAATTGGTATAATATCATTGTACACGAAAAACGAATAAGAGCAGAGACGGTTTGTCAGCCAAGGATATTTTAAATTATTATTATTATTAATAAGGTAGGCGGTTAGCCGAGTTAATAAAATGTCTATATAACAATATACTTTATACGTTTCAAGTATCCACGAATAATATTTTTTAATTACAACACAAAACTAAAATCGTTCTTTTTCGTTTAAATATCTAATTCTGTTCAAACTTGAACTTCAAAACTATGTTTATATATTATTTTTTAGAATTTTTGGTTACAGTAAAAACTACTTACGTGGAACCTTATTTCAAATTTTTAATTTTTAGGTATAGAAATTGAACATTTTGTAAATTTTTACCTGCGAAATAATTTGTACATTTACACTAGGATAAATTTGTCGGAATTTGAACTTTAAATGCTTATAAAAAAAAATGTTAATAATATTATTAAGACTATTATTGTTTGGTAACCAAAAAGACTGTCTTCGCTCAAAATCGTTTTTTCATCTTAAACTATGATTAAACATTGAATTAAAATTTAACACATCCATTACACTGCCACCCTACTCGACTCCCGTATAGAATACAACAAAGTTGTTACCTATTTTTTCCCCTGATTATTTTAAAAAGTAATGAGAATTTTAATTTTATCTTTTAATAGACACCCAAAGTCTTATAAACAAATAATTGATTAATTTTACGTGACATAAAAGTTCATAATTTTTAACAATAAATATGACCAATAAATAGTTATAAACTATAAACACAAACTATTAAATACATTATATATTAATTAATATTAATTAATAATTATACACCATTAGTATTAGCAATTTAGATATTATATTAACATATTACATTTCCTGATATCTTGTCATAACGATAACAATCAGAAATTAAAATATTTATGGTTTTATCAATGTATATGTTGAATTGTTTTAGCTATTTGGCTAAACGCCTGCAAAAAGAAAGACCCAAATTTGGACGAATGTATCTGTAATACTTTTCAAAACATGTTTCCTTACTTGGCAAAAGGTAATATAGTTATGTACATATGAATATAATGTAATATGAAAATCATTTATTAAACTTAACTTTAAAATATTACTCTTGATTAGGTATACCGGAAATTGGAACCAGGCCGTTCGAACCAATGGATATTGATAAAGTGTCTTTAACTAAAGGCCAAGGTGCCATAACATTATCTGGAGCATTCACAAATCTTATTGTCCACGGACCAAGTAATACGACCGCTTTGTATACCAAGTATGTCAATTTAAATAATTTAAAACCTAAATTAAAAATTATATAATGACCAATATTTTAAATTATCTATTCTAAATTACAATAGGTGCTCGTAATATATAAATATAATAGTAGGCAGGCAATAACTAATAATTACCTACTATAATGTTAGGTAGGTACCTACTAGGTACCTACGCATAATAATATAAGTGTAAGAATACAAAAAATCAAAATAATACATATATTTACATGTAATTATACCTATTTAGCTTACCTTAAATATGGTATATACAAATATGATTATTTTGTACAGAAAATGCCTAGAAAAATTATTCTATTTATAAAAAAAATTACATTGCTTTCCCAACTAAATTTCATTTGGTAGATATTTAAGTCTTAGTTCCTTTTATACAAGAATAACTATTTTGGTTCATCCACAGTAGTATTTATTCAATGTAAAAAAACGATAATAATTGATCGAAACATAGTATTATTCTTAGTAAAATTATTAGGTTAGGTTAATATAGGTAGTATTAATTGTTTAAAAATAATAATAACAAGAGCCATTTTATATCTACTAATATATACTTTTTAAATTATTTAAAGGTACCTATAAGTATTCAAAATGTTTCATCCCGCGGCTTGCTTCTCTTCGCAACATTTTGGTTGTTCTCTGCAATTATTAATGACAAAACAAGTTAAGGTTTAAATGTGTTTATTTATTTATAACTAGCTGAATACCATGAAAAAATGATTACAGCGGCAACACTATGTTACAAAGCACTCTATCGCATTCATATATATGATTAGTTTACATGGCATGTAAGTAATCAACAAAAATATTATTTTTATAAAGTTTGTGCAGTGACAGTGCAGTTTGTGACCTGTTGGAAGTAGATATTCTTAAAATCTTTCTGCCTTCTAGTATCTTTAAGAACAATCTATAAAAATATGTTCATCAATATCGATCATATAGTTTTAGGATCTATGAAACACAACCACATTTCCTTTTATATAGATAGATAGATATATTATAAAGTATATAATATACATAAATTATTACCAGACAACAAATGTAATCAAATATGAATATAAAGCCAAAATAAAAATATATACTTTACGTTCAGAATAAAATAAGATATTAAATATTAATTGGCATCTTCATCATCAACATTATTATTTTATTCATTATTTTCCCTCTTTGATGCCGTGACCCCCCAACACTCACAGCTCCGAGGAGCTTCACGATTGTTGGTCAAGGAGCTGTGGCACAGAAGGAAAAACATATTATAATAATTCCATTATGATGGTATGATAATGAAAACGATTAATAAATATAAACATAATAAATATACCAATACATTTTGTCATACTTCTTTATTATCCTAATCATTTGAGATCCGTAAAATTATGTTGTAAATGGACAATGGAGCCATGGGATGAAAAAGTTTGAATACTTCTAATCTATTTATAGATTATAGATTATATAGATTCTATATAATGTATTATACGTATAATCATATAATTATTAATACTCAGCGGTTGAGCTAATCTACAGAAGATACAAATTACAAAATATGTGTAATGCGTTAAATTATATTCCAACAATAATTTGCTTAAAAATTGTATTTTAAAAATAGCATGATGAAATAATTGTGTACTTTTAGGATGGACTTGGTTAAAAATCGTCTAGATATTGGTCTATTCATACCAACAATCAAAGTAGAATCAAAATACGATCTGAAAGGAAATTTATTGTTGTTACCACTAGTCGGTGTAGGCGATGCTAAACTATTTCTGAGTGAGTATGAAACAAAACTTAAATCATAACATCTAGCAAACATTAAAATTTTTTAATTTTCAGAGAATGTAACCACGCACGTACAGACAAATATCTACTTCCCCAAATATATGAACGAAACTGTAATGGTGGCTAGCAGTATGAAAGTTGACTTTAACTTGGCCGCAATGCGTGTCAACTTTGATAATTTGTTCAACGGTAACAAAGTATTGGGTAAGTAAAATCGTAAAAAAATTACTTAGCTTGAGTAAAAACATAATAATATTATGTATACGAATCAATATTAATATAAAAATGAACATGTCTAGTGTCCACATTTTATAGTGTTGTTAAACTGTCAAAATGTCTCATATTTTCAATAATGTTTTCTACTGCTTCATAGGGCGAACTGTCAACACGTTTTTGAATCAAAACGCCTTGGAAGTGGTGAATGGTCTGAAGGAAAATATTGGTGAAAACCTATCGACCATATTTAAACAGATAATGAACGATGCATTTAGTCACATGCCAACAAAACTGTGGCTACAAGATGATTAGTTGACTTATGTAACTATATTATTATGTGAGCATTGTTGTACATATAGCCTATTTCGAATTATTTTAACGTATACCTATATTATTATTATATTCGTGATTCATGATTATAATTTAATCATTGTATTTTGTACTTATTATTTTCACAACTATGTTACTATTTTCTATGTATTACTATTATTAAAAATGTATGAAGAGGAATAAAAATCAATGATATGCGTTCCTAAGTATTACGACAAACAAACTAAAATTCAACTAAAACAAATTAAATCCTTTCACTTTTCTACCAAGCTAATTTATATGAATAACTATATTCAATATTGTGTAGCTCTAAAAATTGACCTTCACTGTCACAATACAAATTACATCTGACAATTGACATAGTGTAGGTATGCAACCATAGGTTAGCACTTAGCATATAGGTACAAGTATAAAATACTAATAACAAACCAAACATACGTTAGCATTTTTAGTAAGGCGAGTGAATTAAAATTAAAATTAAATTCATGCAATGCTTTTATACTCAATACACATACAATCAGTGGCGTAATTACGAATTAATTATGATAAATAATTAGGATAATTATAGGAATCTGGGTCTTCGAACGATGCGATGTCCATATTACCTATTGTCTTCCGAATTTGTTGATCTATGGATACATTTTTTCAATCTCAATGTTTGATACGGTTTGTCTAAGGGGCTACATTTCAATTTTTTTAAGGTTGTGAGAAGAAATAAAGGGTCCATGTATAAACCTGGAATTTATAATTCTGGACCGTAAAAACTCGGACTGTACATATCTGGAAAGTACATATCTGGACCGTATTAATCTGGACCGTACAAATCTGGACCGTAGGGTTCTGGACGTACATATCTGGACCGTATAAACCTGGACCGTACATATCAGGAACGTATATATCTGGACCGTAGAATTCTGGATGTACATATCTGGACCGTACAAACCTGGACCATATATATCTGGATCGTATAATTGTGGACCTTACAAATCTAGACCGTAGAATTCTGGACCGTAGAATTCTGGAATCACATAATACCACATATTTCTGTTTAAGGGGCATGAGTGGCAATCCATTTGGCAGGTTATTGTATTCTTAGACTTTAATTTGGTTCAAATTGTTTAAAAAGTGTTATTATATGTGTTATTATTATTTACGTGTCGAGTTTCTAACAATTTTGGGGATAATACTAAAGTTAATTTAGTTTTTTGGCATATTCATTTTTGAAACTTGCGCCAAAATATTCTAAAAAATTATATAAGAATATTCACTTTATTATTAATACTTGTTGTGTACTTAGCTCAAATAACTTTTAGTTTTACCAATTGTCAGTAGTTTTTTCTAAAATTTTTAAAAAGTTACCTATGAAGAATCAAGCTGGAATAACAAGTATAATACGTACCACCTATGTAGACATGTAGTAAACATACGAGAAGAAGAAAACAAGTTTTTAAGTCTTATACTTATGTATCAACTATCAGACATTATTGTAGTTAAGGAGATCAACTATAATACATTTTTAAATAAAATAAATCCTGAAATAGGTATATATGAAATTTTTAAATCAGTATTGCTACCCGAAAACATTGATGATGCTTACATAAAAAAACATGACTTGGTAAAAGTGATAAACTAATAAAACCAATGTGCCTATATAACCATGTTAAACCAATGTAGGTAATATAAAAACATTTTTTTATGATCATAGGTACCTGCCAGATATATTTAATCATATTTATTTTAAATGTATATGAATGTTATAGACACTTAGGTATAGTCAGTTGTTAGATGTTGTCACCGAAAAGTTATTACTTAAATGAGATTCATAAACAAGACTTTGGCTTAAAAAAAAAAAATAGGTATTACTTGTTTTTAAGGTTGGTCGAGACCTACCTTTAGCATTTACTTTAGTTGATATCACAATGTTTTTATTTTATTTTTAAGTTATTAAAATTAGCTTAAGCAATACAAATTCTTAAGAATCGGCTATGAATACGGCTCCAAGTATAATATTATCTAATGCGAACGTCATCTTCAACTTATAAATGATTTATTGAACTTTAAAAACTATTAGGTAGGTATCTACGTTTTTTCATGTTTGGCAATCACGCTAGCAGCATAGAATATTCTATGCTAGTAGATTACTTAGAAGTTAGAAGTACCTAGTTACCTATTCATATAATCACATCGATAATAAATCTATTTAGAATGTTAAAATTAGAACAATTGTTTAAAATATAATTGATGAATTTGAATTTAAATCATCAAAATTAACGATAACTATACGTTTAGAAAATGATTATAATTATACGTATTTTGTGGTGCTTGTATTTTTATACTATATTATGACATGTCTCAAAATCATTAAGACAATAGTCAATAGGTATAGTGAATGAGTAAATTAATATTATATAAAATAGGTATGCACTGTATTCAGAAATATTGTGGTCGTCTGTCTAGTATTTGTGGATGAGCTTAATCTCACACAGAAGAACGATAAAAGGTGAAATCCAATTATCCAAAGTTTATCGATAGAGAATTTTATGGAGATTCCATTTCAATGGTCGGTGTAACGAATTTTCAAGTTGTTAATTAAATAGCTTTCAAAAAGCATAAAAAAAACAAAAACCATACAAAATTCGCTTCATCAATATACAATAATCATAGATTATAAATTATGATGATGAATATTATTTTTAATAACCTTAGTATCTTAGTCCGTGGTATAAGTAGTATAACCATAGAATAAATATTCAATCACAGATGATTTATTATTATGTATAATACACATACGGATTAGTGATTACGGATTACATGTTATTTATTTTATTATAAAATTATACATATTATTACATATTATCATATTATACATATTATTCATATTATCTGTGTTCACGATTATAGTAGTATATCTTTAATCGTGTCTGTGTTTGAGGCACGGACTAATAGATAATATAATCTTGGTCCGTGATTTGAGGTTATGTTCAATTTTCAATTCATACTACACTGTGGTGTACGGGCGAAGTGTGTGTGGTTTAAGATGGTTTTTAATACTATTTATAGACATCTGATAAGATAATAGTAACAATATCGCTCAGACAAAAATAAAACGTACACATTAATAAATTATTAATAATATCTATTGTCTGTGTAATATCCATATTATATAGATTAATGTAGACTTTTGGTGAGTTGAAATTTAATATTTGTCTTTAAATTGTTATTTGTTTCCATCATCATGGAGCATGAAAGGTACATTTATGTAAAAAATGGCTCAAAAAGAAATAATACAGAGTAAGTACATAACTAATATAATAATTAATAATATACCTATGTAATAGATAATAATTGAGAATGAAATTAATTAATCTTATAATATTAATACACAGTGAAATCTTCAAATAGTGGACACCTTCGGTCGCCGAAATTTAGTCCGCTATTTGGAGTTGTCCGTTAATGTAGGTTTCACAGTATACTATAGGTGTAACTAGGGGGCACTTGGGAGGCTAAGCCCCACTAACTTTTATTTTAGATCCCTCGTCATAATTCCTATACTCCCACCAACGGTAGCTAAATTTACAAATTTAAAATATAATTTTATTTTTTTATATACCTAAATAAAAGTCCTGTAGTTTTTACTACATAGTACATAATACATTTAAGTTGTCAATAAAGTAAACATAAAAATAATCTTCATCCAGAATAATAGACCTCCATTGTAACATTAATGTATAAATGGTGATACAATTAACGACTAACGAATGACTAACTTTATAGTGGTATTTTGCTATCCTAACCAATTCAGATTTTATACTATTTTATTGAAATATAATTTATCATTGTATTCGATCTTCATAAGTGCAATGGTTGTCTGATCGTTCGTATTATCGTTAACGTTTTTGTTATTATTATTATAATAAATTAGTAAATTTTGTTTTCTCTTATTTTTATACTTAAATGAACATAAAATAAATGAAACTGAATTCAAATCAGAAATGTTGGTTAGATAATCCATTGTTAATAGTTTAATTGCATATCATTTAACAATCACTAGGATAATTTTAAATGTCCAGGGATCTAGTTCAAAAATCTGCTTTTCTAAATGTATATAAAATACTACATTTATCACTTTCTGTTACAAAAAGTTCCATATCTAGTAATGTTATATGATAACATTGAATAGATACTTATATAAGGTCAACTACTCAACTTAATCAGTTCTCTAAATTGTCTATTATAGGTATTGAAATATATTTTTTTTTTTAATGCAAATATGATATAGGTACCTATTGAGCATACAGTGAGCACTGAGCAGAAGCTTAAACTGTAATGACTAGTGTATTATTATTATGTTACCCATATCAATTCTATAATTTTCACTGATATTATAAAAAATCAAAACTCTGTAATTAACTAAAATAACACATTTCAATAATTTAATGTTTACCTAATCATTCCTCTTTTTTATGATAATTATTACACACACACTTTAATAATAAAATACAATATTAAATTATTGATTTAAATTTACATTATATTTGGGGGCAAAGCCCCCACCTTATTTAGGTACTTATTATAAAAATGCTATGGCTGAAGCCCCCCAACTTTGAGTTCTTGTTACACCTATGCTGTATACATTTATATTTTGAATTGCAAATAATATATTCATAAATGTGTAAACTTTTTCTATTCTTTTTTACTTTTTTCAATCTATCATAAACAATTCTTTTTGACATCATTACATCAAATATAAGTATAAAACTAGTTTGTAGCTTCCTATATAGAATACAAAAAGAAGAAATAAACTAGTGTAAAACCACTGGCTTCGTTGCTTCACTTAGAATCCAAAAGTAATAGCAAGGCGCTAATTAAATTATTAATGTAAACAAAGCAAGCAGTAATTTTTCCATTTTACCTACATAACAAAATGTAGTTACCTACCTATCATGTTCTTAGGCTATTCTATATTTTTTTATTAATTTAATTATTAATTGTGTGGATACTAAATTGGATATTAAATAAGTGGACCCAATTAATATATAAATTATCATTTAATGAAATTTCTAATACTGTGTTATAGATGAAATTTCTACATAAATTAAATATTAGTGGTAATTATTATTTAACTGTCTTCAATAATATATTTAAATATTATTGTAATGTATAAATCAATTAAGATATATCTTTATATCATACAACGGTATATAAAAATATAGAATTTCAATATAAATATTAAATACAAATGTTTTAATATTTTCTAATAACTAGGAATTATTATTAATTATTTATTTATTTATTATTAGCGATATGGGCTGAGCCCAATTATAATCATTAGGTTCCTATACACTTATCAAACATGTTTAAATATTTGTATTTAAATGCAATACATAAATTTAACTTTTATATGATAAACTTATAAATTATAATTTATAACTATAGGTACTATAAATACCAAGAATCATCAAAGTACTTATGTCGAGGATCGATCAAAATTGTGAAAAGAAATAATGTTCAGGTTATTAAACGCATTAAACATCATAATCATGAACCTGATCAAAACTTCTTATCATTACGCAGTTTTAAAAAGAGTTTAAAAACAAGAAGTGTTAATGAAAATACTCCTCTAAATATTTTGTACGAACAGGAAGCTAGACGGTGAGTTGACTGTATTTTCAGTTTTTAAGTTTGAATAATTAGTTTATAATATGTATTGGTGTCATTTATTTATTATAGCCTACCGGTAGGTAATACATTTTATTTAAATGATAATATTTAATAAATGCTCTTAAATTTTAATGTATACCTACTAAGTTATACAGCCATGAACATAATATATGTACCTATAATGTTTTATTATGTACCATTCACATACATAATACCATTACACATATAATATAAACCTGATTACCTGAATCTCAAGATGTACCCTATTGTGAATTCTTTTTTTTTAGTTTTAACTATTGATGAAATAATTGTTATATATTTTTATGCATTTATTTATGCTAATACATAGAAATCCTGAAGTTGCTGCACATTATTCGTGGAAATCAGCAGAAAGTTTGATGCGTTTGTCTAGAAAACGATCGTTGCCAAATGTGCCAGAAACACTTAAGGACTTAGCTGACCAATTTGATGCTGGACTGCTTCATAGGTTTCAAGCGTGTGGAGAACTTATATATAAAGGTTAATAATTGTATTATTTATTTTATTTTTGCTGATTATTTATAAGTAGATATAAATGCAGGTTTATCTGTACATATTCAGGTAAACAAGTTTAAATTGGTACACTGTGTTTGTTAATTTTTATGTCATATTATTAAAAGCATTTTAAATTCTAGGTTATGTTGTAGATAACTCGGGAAATCATTCAATAATTTTTAGTTCTCAAACATTGATTGATAGATGTATTGCAATGGATGCCAAAGAACTACATGTAGACGCTACCTTTAAAGTGATTCCATCAACACCAAAATGTTATCAGCTTTTGATTATTCATGTAATGATAGATAATTATGTAAGTTATATACCTACTTATACATTCCACATATTATAATATTAGTATACAAATATTACATATTCTGCTAGCAGGGTTGGCTATTTTAAATATAGTATATTCTTCGGTGCTTGGTCAAACGGCAAAACTTAACAAAGTTAAAATTATAAATTTGTCAGTAGGAATATTATAGACATTTTATGGGAGTTGAATCAATTATTAATTAACCGTTTTTGAATATTTTCCTTGACGATGAGGTGATAGGTTAAAAAAATTGTCTTCAATATTTAATGATGTTTTGAATGAAATTAATTATTCCAAATTTCTTCTTGTACTTTAGCCATTTGAAATCTTGGCAGCACAATTTTTTCCATTTTACTAGAAAAGTCTAAAAAATTATGTTGTTCCATTTCTATTACTTTAAATTTTTTACTAGCACATCTGATTAAAATAGGTAGATCAGTTATGGGGATGGTAAATCATAGTGGCATGGGTTTTTTTTTTTACTCTTCAATTGATGAAGGATTTGAGTCACTTTCCATAATATAAATTAAACCTTTTAAGAGAATGGTAATTTAACATCTAAAAAAATTAGTAGCTAAATTGATTCCAATTTTACATGAAAATTTGATTACATTTTCTTTTGCATATGGGCTAATTTATAGATGGTCCAAATTTTGTTAGTTGATGGAATATTTATTTAAGTTCAGTTTTAATTTGGCTGTTTTTGCTTTATATATTATATAAATTTAAATTAAAATCACATTGAAAATACATTTATTACTTTTTTATGTTTTAGAGTATACCTTTAGTTTATGTTCTAATGGAGAAGAAAACTGCAGAGGCATATGATGCAGCTCTCCATTACGTTAAACATAATCTCCTTCCAGAATTTAGACCTACAGTTATTTTGACAGACTTTGAAGCAGCTTTGCGAACAGAACTAATCAGGCATTTTCCAACAGCTGCAGCCCATGGGTGTTGGTTTCATGTTAACCAAGTGAGTAATTTTTAAATTACAAAACTAATACAAAATTTATCAATATACGTAAATCATAAAAAAATAATACATTTTTAGGCTGTTTGGCGCAAAATGAAAAAATTAGGTTTTTTGAATTTAATCAACACCAATGAAGCCGCTTTAAAAACATTGAAGATGATCATGGTAATTCCTTTACTTCCAGCACATCAAATCGAAGAAGGGTTTATTGAAGCAAAGCGTTATGCATCTATGCATAATGTAAATATGCTCAGGTTGTTCAATTACTATGAACGGTATGTAAACCTTAAACTATAATTGAGTAAAATTAGTGTTTGTAATACCTACTAAATATTTGTAAAAATAATTATTAAAATTAATTTGTAACAGGTATTGGCTGCAAAACGTTGGTGTAGAAGTACTGTCTGTGTACAAAAAAAAATTTCGGACTAATAACAATGTAGAATCGTTCCATAATAAATTACGACAAATGTTCCAGACTTCTCATCCAAATATTTGGGTATTTTTAGGTAAAATAAAACATTTTATTACACTACATAATATTATACAAGCTAGTTTGTTGTGTTGTAATAATTTTTTTTTTTTTAAGGAAATATATGCAAACTTATTGACAACTATTCAATAAAGCTGAACCAAACAGACAATGGTTTAGTCATTTTAAATACAAAACGCGCAAAATACGTTGCTAACGATAAGCGGATTAAATCTGCAAATCGTCAACTTCGGCAAGGTTTAATAAGCGTAGGAACCTTTTTGAAACGTTGTTCTTATAGTGTAGCTGGATACGAGGAAAGAATGCGAGCACTGGCAATAGGACAAATTTATAGTAATTTAGAAATAGCAATTTATCAATATAATATAAATTACTTTGCTCATTGACAGTTGTTTTATTTTAGATGAAGTTGTTGAAAATGAAGTACCTCAGTTGTTAGATATACCCAATGCAGGAGCATTGAACCATATGGATGGTAAATCTAAACTTAATTTATGGTTTAAAACTTTAAAACATGAAATGCATTTATTTATTTTCTTTTAGATGAAGCTGTTGAAAATCAGGTCCATCCTGAAAGAAGAAATATTTTTGGTAAGAATAAAGTTGTTTTATGTATTTATTACTGTTCACTTAGAGTTTATTAACTGTTCAAAATTTATTTAGATGTCAGTGATGATGAGGTAGTAGACCTAGACCAAGAAACCGCAGCTGATATGAGTGGTAAGAACAACATTTATTATACGTTTCATATAATCAATTAATGTGTGTGGTAGACAATGTCTACGGTTTAAAACATGAAATGCATTTATTTATTTTCTTTTAGATGAAGCTGTTGAAAATCAGGTCCGTCCTGAAAGAAGAAATATTTTTGGTAAGAATAAAGTTGTTTTATGTATTTATTACTTTTCACTTAGAGTTTATTAACTGTTCAAAATTTATTTAGATGTCAGTGATGTTGAGGTAGTAGACCTAGACCAGGAAACCGCAGCTGATATGAGTGGTAAGAACAATAAATTTATAACTTAAACAATGTATTTTTTAATTTGAACTATGTTCTCTAATTTAGAAAATGAGGAAGATTATTATACCCCAGAAGACAAGGATCCCGATATGATTGTGATGATGGAACATGAGGCTAGGCAACGGCAACTAGATATGAATAACATTCCTTTTGTGAGAATTCCACCCGTTCTTCCTTCATTGGAAAATCAACATCAATTGTGTATAATATGTACTGTGGAAGAAAGAACATACGCCTTAATACCCTGTGGCCATAAAATAATATGTGAAGATTGTCTTAATCGTTTGGAACCTAAGCGTTGTCCCCTTTGCAATGACTATTTAACTGGCTCTTTGAGGATTTTTTGAACCGGTTTTATTATAAAAACCCTTGTCTTTAAGTTTTTTTTTTTTATTTTGTAATAAGGTATTTTTTTTATTTTCATTTTTAATATTATATTATATTGTTTTATAAAATATATAATAAAGTTATCTATATCTATATACAAATATAAAAATATAAAAATGGAACCAAAAATGTATAACAATTCATCAATTGAGAACGACTGGGCGTATTTGGCTGATTTTTTGTTTGTTGTGTTTGTAATTACCTGGACCAGGTATTTACTAAAGAAAATTTTAGGAAAGTCCAGTGGAAAAGTAGACATCTGGATGTAAAAGAAAAACAATACAGGCGCTATCTGTCCAGCAAGAAAATAAATTAAATAATAATATATTTTTGTTTATTATAAGGTTGCTATTGGTTATGATTTTAATATAATTAGAGTATGTTAAACTGACGATTGACGCGAAACGCTGAATGTTGGTAGAACAACTATTTTCCCAGTATGGATTAAATCTGATGGTCACATTTTCCTACCGAGGTGGCAGAGTTGCATTTATAGCCAATCATTGCAGTGTCTGCAATGTACCGCAGGTGGATTGACTACCTGATATGCTGCCGCGCATCGTCTGTGATCCGACATAGTCGGATTGCCTACCGGGGTGGTTTAATTCCACTTACTGCAGCGAGTTACATCCAAAAAGAGTTGAACAGTCACAGTTTTTACGGGCAACGAAGTGTGCGGGATCAGCTAGTATATCTAGAAAGTTTTTGTTTTTTTTTTAAATTTTAAAAATAACAACTAGGTACAATTGCATACAATAAATAAAAAAAAAATGTTGTATCATAGAAACTAAAAATTACAATTATTTTTATAATTCTGATGAGGTAGGTATATATACAACGAAGATAAAAAATTAGGTATTATATTCAGGCCCTCTAGCCTTATGCAATTTTTATAAAAAAAAAAAGAGGGCATAGCTATAATTTATTCTTATACAAAAAAATTGAATAATAATCGTTATCTGGTAAGTATATTTATCTGTATGGGTATATTTGTCAAAAATAAAAGATATTTAAAAAATATTTAAGTTCTAAGCCCATTTGCTCATTGCTTATAAATCCAGTGTGGATTCTTGTTTTAATAATGAGGCCATTGTATACAATAGTGATTTCTTCATAATATACTATACACATACCTATAGTGATAACTGACAAATATTTTCAAAATATCGTGACAGTCTTATTTTTATATTTAACAATAGGTACTCCAATACTTTAATATGCATTTTTAAAATGTATTTTTAATAGGTACACTTAAATGTACAGATGATAATTATACGATAATTACATATTGTCCCTTTTAGTAAAACAATTGCTTGTAGTATGAATAAGATTTTATTTTTGTATGCTAGAATTAGATTATTTTTTTTTTAAATAGTTCATCAAGATTAAATATACAAAGTCTTTGTGAATTGGTTCTGTGCTATAAAGGTATAGTATTTTTAGTATATATTTAAGAAGTCTTTGTTTATAGTGGTTTTTACTTTTTTTTAACTTAATGAGATGGGAATTAAAGGTCCTTCCCCATATGTCAGTACCTATACTGATAGTATGAATATAATGGGTTTATACAGGCAAGTTCTATACATTTTAATTGTACACCCTACGACACATCCTTCGCACTTCGCAGGGCCGTATTTGGACAATTTGCGACCCGGGGCAACATATTTCCGCCACCCCTATCCCCCCCCAAAAAAATGCTATTTCTTAAAATTTAAGTTGCAACTATTTTGTTGTATTTTGGCATCATTTTCGTATAGGGCATTTTATACGCTACATATTATTTGGAGATTTTCAAAGTAACAAATTGCGGCTACGAGCACTATGTCCCCCAACGTGTTAAGATAGGTTCTGGTGGTAATATAATTCCTAGAGCTATCGAATTAAACAAAGCAACACTGTATGGGGCTTAAAGAAAAAAAAATTTCATGTTTAAAATCAACTCGTCAACAGTATTGAATTGTCCACGAATTTCTTCAGCTATCGGATGAAATGCGTATACACTGCAAGTGGTGTGTACTGTGTACATAGACTTATAAACTAATGGACAGCGCTTAGAGAGAGAAGTCAGGGGTACGATATAGAGTGAGTGAGAAAAGAAACAAAGTAGTAAAATGTATACAGTTCCTTATGGGGGCCTTATGTGGTGCTCCTTCACTACTTTATGTGAAAAAAAATATTTAAAAAAAATTAAAATAATTATTGATTAAAACATTAAACAGACGTATACTATAAGTAAACGTGTGGATGAATAATCACGTACCTAATATGTTTTTCAACTTTTTGCTTTTCCGATTATAGACCAAATAATAGTCATACCACTTCGACCATATAGATCCTTTTGAATCCTCACACACCAAAAAACCAGAATCTCGAGTTTCGTAGTGATCAAATGAAAACTCAAAACCAAAATATACGCAACTATAAGTAATTTTCTAAGTATAAAAAACACACGAAAAATCATAACTCCTGAACCAAAAGTCGGATGACCTCGATCTCGATACCCATCGATACGGCGCAAAGTTGTCTATAAGATCTGACTACAAATGGCTCACCGCGACCAAAAACTAAGTTACCGTGCTGAAAAACGGCTCCTATGGTCTTGAAACAAGACGCTGAATTTGATCACCCACCTCCAAACTCTCGAGTTTCAGAAACGTCGTACACAATCTAATCCTTTTCCAAAATACACCTGTGGGGGGGAGGGGTGGAGCCGTGGAGGAGCCCTGATTCCGTGAGTACGTTTTAGAAGGACATAAGCCAAAACTTTTGTAACTTTAAAGTATAAAATTATCTTATGTGAACGTAATCTACAACTTATAAATGATTTATTTAACTTTAAAAACTATTACATATTTACATACGTTTGTTCCGGCGCATTCGAATTGCGTCCCTAAATTATATTTTGTCCTAGTTGCGTCCGCGGTTTTCTCGCGACATGTACGAAATGCGTCCACGGGTTTTTCTCAGTGACTGACAATAATATTTGGTATAAACTCATTACTCATAGATAATCTCAATTATCGATATCTTATCTGTAAAATGTAAATACTACCTTACAATTTACTGTTGGGAATATTAATTTTGTTCATGTTAGCATCAGTCACACTTCGACATTCAATGTTATATATTTTTATTTAAACTTATTTAACTTTGCAATGGAAAATCTTAAAATAATTAAAATGTTCAGTGAAAAAAATAAACTATTATATTTTATTAATGGATACAAATTCTCTTTTCAAAAATTATAAAAAAATAAACAATAATAAATAATTTATAATACACAATTACAATTTTTTAACATACCATATTTTTAACCACACCATTTATACAAATGACAGTCTCCAGTCTGTAAAAGTGGGAAGAGGAATATGTATAATATTCGTCAGTTAATCAATTATCAACTGGGACGCAACTCGGATACCTATCGCGATTTATATTTTTGTATTCTGGGACGCAATTCGTATGCAGCCGTTTGTTCGTATTTGGTATAAATTATAATATAAAACAAATTCGTAGATCTAAAGAGGGTAGTTTTTTGGAAAGCTCCATAAGAAATAGTTTCTAAAACACAACAAAATGGAATTTTTATGATAAAAACAGCCACATTGAATTGATTTAAGACGTGCAGTTTTATTTGGTATTTGAAACGAACCGATTAATCTAAAAAGTGACAAGAATTCTGAAAAAGAAAATTTGAGCTACCTACAAAATTATTAGAGACTCGACACCTTTTAAACAATTTGAACCAAATTAAAGTCTAAGAATATTATAACCTGTCAAATGGATTGCCACTCATGCACCTTAAACAGAAATATGTGGTATTATGTAAGTCCAGAATTCTACGGTCCAGATATGTACAGTCTAGATTTGTACGCTCCCGATATGTACAGTCCAGGTTTGTACGGTCCAGATATGTACGTCCAGATTTGTACGGTCCACAATTATACGGTCCAGATATGTACAGTCCAGGTTTGTACCGTCAGATATGTACGTCCAGAATTCTACGATCCAGATTTGTAAGGTCCAAAATTATACGGTCCAGATATGTACATTCCGGGTTTTTACGGTCCAGATTTATAAACTCCAGGTTTATACGTGTCCCCGAAATAAAGAGGCCACATTTTTTAGGGCATCCAAGTTGGGTCCGGAAATAATATACTTAAGTTTTAAATTTTGTACGAATTGGGTCCGTGTGAATATAATATTTCGTACGAATTGGGTCCAGGCATGTAAAATTATATTTTCGAATTGGATCCGTTTATAATTATTTATCGAATGTAATGTAATGTAATGTAATGAACGAATATTATATGAATCACGTACTTTCCGGTGAAAATCGAAATACACTGATTAGGTATAATAATTTATAATATATAAATATAATTTGTAATTTATAATCTTATCGTATAATAATAAAATGCGTTGAACTACTTGAATGTGAATCCTTTCATTCACACTTCAATTCTATGTTTTATTCTGCTCATCCAAATATATTTAATTTTTTACACGTTTTAAAAAAAATTAAATCGACGTTTATATTAAAATGAGAAGTCCAGAGAGAAGAAGAAGAAACTGTTTCATATCTAAGGAAGATTTCGTAAAGGGAAAAATGACAGAAAAAATATTGGGAAAAATTAATTTCTACGAATTTGTTAAATCTGTATCTTATACATTTCAGCTCAATTATTAACTTATTAGTTATTAACTATTAACAACTAGACGACGATTGTAAATCACGATAATAAAATAGTAAACATAGAATATTAATTATAATTAAAAAAATTAACACAACTTATAAAAAAGAAAAAAAAATATTTTAAACCATACCTATAATAACTAGATGTTATTAGACAGTCTTTTAAGTCTGTAAAAATGTGAAGGAAAATATTTTTTCTGGGACCCAACTAGTACAGTAGGCTCAGAGCCCAACTGAGGGGGGGGGGGGGGGGGTAAAGGGCTGCAGCCCCCAGCCCCGATATTATTTGGGGCCCCGGGCCCCTGCTGATATTTAATTATCAAAGTGGCACTGTGAAATATTATGATATTATTGCTTACGTAGTTTCATTAGTCAAGTATTGTAATGGTATTTATGATTATTCTCTAATCGATAAAATAATAGCTATTAAGTTTTGGTCAAAAGCACTTTATCGTTTTAATTAAGTTAGCATTAACTAGAAATATCACGGGTTTTCCGTTTTTGGGAGCGCTCAATTCTTGTCAAATACGGGTATAAAATTATTGGTATATAATAAATACCTTTAAGTCTACAGTTTATCTTTACATACATGTTGTTGGTCAGTTTCGTATCATTAGTACAATCGGTACATTAATTGTGAGTATTCCGTCGACTGTCGTGATGTTAAATTATTAAATTAGTTTATAGTTGAGTTCGTGAGTTTAGTTATGTAATTTTTTTTATTATTTACGTTGACTACGTTGAAATAGGCATTACCGCTTTGAATTTGAGTATACCAGTAAACATTTGTTTAAATTAAAAACTGTATCTACAATTCTTTACTTATATTTATATTTTTTATTTCATCGTTTTATTTATATTAATCAATTAATCATCATTAAATAATTACGTATAGACTTATGGTATAATTTATTTATAATCTTATAAAATAAATTGAATATAAAAAATCCAAATAGCAATATTTCAGAATTTAGATAATAATTAATTTTGGGGCCCCATCAAAAAATTAGACCCGGGCCCCGAAATTCCTAAGTTGGCTTCTGAGTAGGCGCAACTAGCTAGTTAGAAAGTTAGCAAAGTGAAACTTTGGGGCCCTCCGATTTATCGGGACCACGTAATAAAAATTGGTTTTTGGTATTTTTCACATTTTATATTTATTATTATTACCTATATTTTTTTATAAATATCTAAATTAAAATAAGTGGGTTATACTATAATTACCTATACTGTTATATTTTAATAGTTATTGTTAATAGCCTATGGGTTACCTATAATCTATATTACCCTACGAGTTATTGATTTAATAATACTATAAAATCATTAGATACCCATTGATTAATGGAGGCCAAGAATAGTGTTCTAAAATGTATACAACAATCAACAACCTACTTGTATTATTATTATAGCAGGAACTTAATATTATGTTAAATCAATGTGAAAATAATGTTTAACAATACATATTTTTTGTAATAATTACATTGTGATACATATGTATATCATAAATGGAAATTTCCACTGGCACCCGCATCTATGTATAATATCAAATATTACCTATCAATTACCAATTAACAATATAAAATATTATATTATGTTAATACAGTGTTTACAGTTTCGACTCTTGAGTGTTAAGTCTTGATATTTATTTAGTTTTGCCTTTTGCGCCTGTGTTATAACTTATAACAAATAATTATATGAATATAATATGATAATTGCAATTTTAATGATACGTATAGGTATATTTATTCTATTTACTATTTTAGTATACGTGTTGTTTATGGACAATGGACTATGGTAATAGTATCTATATATTATCTGCGTTCTAAGGGTGGGAGGGCGAATTTATAAAAGATTTATTAGACTTAAATTTCTTTATAAGTATAATATTACCCATTTTCTATTTACGTAATCGTGCAATATTTTTAAGTAGTTTATTTGTGTAATATCAGTATATTTCGTATAATTATTATGTCAACACGAAGAGTGTATGGAAGTAGTTTTGCTAAACGGAAGGCAAAAAGAACAAAGAACCACCAGTTTGGATATAATGAGAGTCAAATATCAAAACATGTAGGTATTTTTTTTTATAAATTGTATAATTGAACTGAAGGCAAAGATGGGTAGCCAGGTAGGAATATAAAAAGATATAGGTACTATACTTCAATATATATTTTATATTGGCACATCTGAATTACAAAAGACATAATATTATGTGTTATATAAACTATCAAGAGTTGATATTCTCTACTATTGTATTTCTCAATATTTTGTAGAGCGTTTTGTAGTTGATTTTTTACAAAAAAACTAGAAATATTAATACTTATTCTGTTTTATAAATTTGTAATTTTTAAAAAAAATGTCAGTTTATAAGTACAACTTTTTTTAATGTTATGAAATTACTAATTGACTCCATGCACTTCGTTTCCCTTTAAAAATGGTTTATATGTATAAATTAATTAGCAATAAATTAGATAGTAAAACTTTTATTTTATTATTATTTAATTCATTTTTTTTTTTGCTGGACAGATGATGCCACTGTTGTATTTCTGCTTTCCAAGCTTTCTACTTTTCCGGTGGATTTTCCTAAAATTTTCTTTCATATTAACCTTTATTAATTACGAACACATCAAAAAAAGAATCAGCCAAATCGGTCATGCATTTTCGGAGCCAACCTTTTAACAATGATTTCCATTTCGCTTTTATATACTTATTAATTATTATACATAATATTATATAATATATATTATAATTAACGATGGAAAGGTTTTGATTACCTTATGGGTGGGGAAGAAGCGGTATACCGTGTACCTTTAATTGTTTACATTTTTTTAGGGGGCCCCATTTTATATTTGACTTTAGGGCCCAAAAGTGTCTAGTTGCGCCACTGCAACGACGACGATGAATGATGATGAAAGAGTGATTGGTGACATTTTCGCAAAATTTCTTGATGCCATATGCATGGAGGAAGGCAGCGGTGACGCTACGATAGTACTGGCACAGAATACATTAAATTATATTATTAAATTTAATCTATTCTGTGGTACTGGCGCCCTCTGGGACCACCGGGAAGGGCGTCGTACTGCAAGTGGACGAGGCAGACATCATACCAGCTGAGGGGAATCGAGAAGCGAGGGAAGCTACAACGCTGGACAGGTCGAAGGACCCGGAAGCCGCCCCACTGCCCCAGTGAAGAGTAATAGTCTTCACGTGGACGACCGAGGCGTTTTTTCGCCGCCACTTGGAGCGCCTGTTATTGTGTTGCAGCCGACGAGATTGAGACCCGCAGTGTTCTACCCACTCTTCATCGGTTCAAGAACACCTAGACGAGACGGCGGTGGCGTGGTACGTGAAAGAACACTTTACGGTATCCGGAGGTAAGTCACCCTATACTTTATCCGGCCATCCTCGGAACGACGAGATCGCGGTTTCCGAAACGCCAGGCAATCTGACGGTCCGGCGACTGTGGTCGCCCCAGGAGCGGCGGACGACAGCGATGGCTTGCTGTAACAGCGCGAACAACTACGATACCACAGTGAACACGAAGGCGTCTCGTAACCTCGGCGGCGGGGAGACTACAAAACACAACGGGTGAGCGCCGAGCGATAAAGCTTAGCTATAACATGGACGTCAGCACCGCCGCCTTCGCCGGACTCTTTCCATGGAAATAGATAACGTTTCAAGGTACGCCACGGCGATGCGCGACTCCAGGACGGCCACCTGATGGTGACGCGATCGAGTTAGGGCGAAAATCACGTGGCTTATTAAACCGCGGTGAGTTACTCATTTCCCATTTTACTATTTTAGCCCAGTGGCAATCGGTCGAGTACTCGAGTCACGTCTCTGGTCCCTGCCGATTCCGTGGCACCATTCCACTTATTTCCGCTGCCTTTGCTCGCTCAGTGTTTTTGGTCACCTCGGTAACCGTCGTCACACATCAGTCATATTCGGCACCTGCTCATCGTCGATGAGTGCTATAGCCGCTCGCTGTCAACCCGTCTCGTCGTGCGGTCGAGCCTCGCCGGGCGAGCAAACGCGCCGGCGACTACAATCGTCCGCCCGCAGGATCGGCCGCTATACGTATATAGGTGACCAGTGGCCTTATTGCTTTATGCAAGTACCTCGCCATCACGTACCACTCCCCCCTGCTATTTAATACCTATGTTATAAAATTAAATTTGTCGAATGTACAGAATAAAAGTTTCTGTACAAAAACAAAATATTGTTTCTTTTTTACGTATTAGAGTGTATTAGTATATTTATATGTGAGGCCAGTGAGGGCCCATGCAAAGTTAACCTAAGTCAATCAAAGTTTTTGTAACACACCAAATATCAATAAAGTAAGGGTAAGTGGATGTCGCTCTGTTGTTCAGTTGTAATGAATTTTAACTAAATGATATAAAACTAAAATTCTAAATTTCATGGGTTCAACTTCATTCGGTTTAACATTGTTCTATGGTTCATACTAGCACAGAACAATACTAGGTAACAATTTTTATTAGTTTTTATTTTAACCGTTATGAGCGCTATAAGCGCAAACGTCCACAGATCACGCGACTTTTTGATTCAAATCGTATACGTGTGATAACGTTTTTCTAATAGGTCGTTGCACGATTGTTCTGTGATTAAAGATACTATAATGATAAAAGATTAAAATTTAAAATTTGATAAGTATTATTTACTATTTAGAATTAACTATTAAGATAATAGACGTCTATACTAAGTTAAAACTATAATATTTAATAATATTTGAATTTTGAATTTTTATAATATACTAAATTTCTCATGATATTAATGAACCTGATTAAACTACAAAATAAAAATTATATCATATTATGTTGAAAAATAGATAAAGGAAGTAAACTATTTTCCAAATCAAGGTATAGTCTATATTATGTTATTGAATTATTTTAAATGTATATTAGTTTTCGAGAATATGTAGTATATTACTATTTTTCTGTAGTTTTAATTTAAAAAACTGTTGTACTACTGAGTCACCAATTGTAATTTATCTGTAAAGTAGAATTTGCTTATTATGATGCCAGATATAACAATATTGCATGTACTTGGTTGGTTTAAAATCTAACGTCCAGTATGTTTTTGTAGTTGGATATAACAATCTGATTCACTATCTGAAGTTCGTTTTAAGTGGAATCTACTGTAATTATTAACTTCTGGTAGATCAATTTAGCTTGAAATAAAGTAAGAGTGACACAAAAAATTGCTGTGTCAATATGCCCGATCATGGTTATTATCACAGTGTACTCAGAATAATCTTCAGACTAACCTCTGCAGCTTTATAACAATTTAATTAAATTAAAATATAATAATAATTTGTTCTATTAACACCTTAAATAATATGTAACTCAAACTTAAATAATGTATATACCATTGTATATCATCTATAGCAGTGTTTCTTAACCTGGGAATGGAGACCCACTTGGTGGTCGCCAACTTATTATTTAGGGTCGCGTATGAATTAAAATTTAATGTTTAATATGTTTTTTTAGTTAAAAATAATTATAACATTATATGTATATTACGTTGAGTACAATGTACAGTACTTTTACTATTGACTATTAATAAAAATCTTTATTCTATGCGTGTATATAAAAAAATATATGTAAAGGGGAGGGAGTGTCGCCACAGTAAAAAGGTTGAGAAACGCTGATCTATAGTATATACCTACATGAAACATTTTATCAGAAAATTATAATTTACTTAATAAAAACTTTTGAATTAGGTTAAGTTGCATATATCTAAGCAAACATGGATCCTGCTTTGCTGAGAGAAAGAGAATTATTCAAACTTAAGGCTTCAGCTATTCCTGTGTAAGCACATTATTATTATACATTTATATTATTTTATTCAAATAATAATTTTACTATAACTATTAAGTATAAACTGATTATATTATGCTATCATTGTAGTGTTGAAAAAAGGTTAAGAGAAGACAATAGCAACAAAGATGAGTTTAAAAGGAAATCAAAACCATTACCATCTATGCCAAGACCACCTTCGCCCCCAAACACTTCAAGTTCATTGAAGTATAATTTGTTTTGTATAGATATATTGAACATAATTTTAACAACTAATACTTTTAATTAATACTATAGTAGCTACAAGTCATATGGGCAAAGTTCTCAATATAAATTTGGTGTGCTAACCAAAATAGTTAAGTATATTAGAGCTCGACATCAGGATGGAGATGATCATCCGTTAACATTAGATGAATTACTGGATGAAACTAATCAATTAGATGTGGGAACTAAAGTGAAAACGGTATTTATATTGTTAACTTATTATAATATTAAGTTCATATAAAAAATTAAATTAAAAAAAATGTATATCATTTGTATAATATTATTATTATGAAGTGGTTAGAAACTGAAGCACTACCAGGCAATCCTAAAATTGAACGTACACCTGATGGAAAATATATGTTCAAGCCTCCTTATAAACTTAAAGACAGAAAAGCTTTGTTTAAAGTATTGAAACAACAAGATTTGAAAGGTTTAGGAGGAATTATGATGGACGATATTCAAGAATCATTACCTAATTGTGAAAAAGCCCTCAAGGTACAAAACCAAAATTAATTATAAAAGTTTTGTTGTACATTTTATTTATGAAAATTATGTAATTAGGTATTAATATATGCTTATTTTTATAACAGCATCTACATAATGAAATATTATATGTTTGTCGGCCTGGGGATAAAAAAAAAGTTATGTTTTACAACGACAAATCTGCAACTATTGATATTAATGAAGATTTTAAAAAAATGTGGAGGAGCATTGCAGTGGAAAATATGGACGATGAAAAGATTGAGGAACATTTGGAGAAACAGGTGTGTACACCAAAAAATCAAATTTTTAAAACAATATACTGAAGTTTTACATAAAATATTTTTTAGGGTATAAGTTCCATGCAAGATAATGGTATCAAAAAAGTAAATCATGTAAAACGGAAGAAACCAGTGACCAAGAAAAGATTATCAAAGAGACCAAGGGATAATGAACATTTAGCAAATGTGTTGGAAGATTATGATACATTGTAATTTTTTGTATAAGTATGATTATTAATTTTTTATTGTACATAAATAAAAGAAAATTGTATACTAATTATTATTTGTTAAAAAGTGCTCAATTATATTATCAATATCCGAAACAGCTTTTAGTCGTATAGGTACTGTTCCTAAGCTTACTAGTTTATCTGGTCTTTCAGCTTCTTCAATTTTAGTAAGACTGAATAATTCCTAGAAAAATTTCAATAACATAAACTAAAGTTTAAGATTACAAATAAATCAAGTCACCTTGTGATGTTTATCCTCATTGGCTTTTAATAATTCATATTTTTTTTCATTAAAGATTAAAACAACTCGCCCAGATCTATAATACTGAAGTTTTCCTATTGGTTTGGACTTAAAAACAGCTTCTGAATCATTCTGGAACTAAACATTAACGTGATTTGTAATTTTCATATGAGCCATTATTTGTATCGTAATAATTACTTCAGTTTTTAAATGGCCATTATATTCCATTTTTATAGGGACTTCTGGTTTTATTTTGGCTAGTATTACATCATTATCATTATTTTCTCTTAAATCAATATTTGTAATCTTTGGTTGAATACTAAATGAACTGTCATAGAACTAATAAAAATCAAACAATTAATACACAATTACACTAATTATAGTTAATAATAAGACGTCTAACTTTAATAGAATAAATTCTATACAATAAGAGGTGAGTTCGATCAAAAAACATTGCTAATATCACATAATCCAGACACGGACTAAGAATGAACTGGAAACATATTGGCATGCAGGTGAAACCGGGTTGCCTGAAGTTCAGAAGTTTTGTAAGGGGGATATGTCTATATTTTATATAGAACAACCTATATTCATCATATAAACTAGATGATGAATATAGGTACTGCTTGATACATACAAGCTGCCCAACCCCCACTGCATAAGACTCTTTTAAACCTTAAACGTCCGGGTAATATGGCTCTAGTTTCCAGTCTATTCTATTTTAGTCCAAGCCTCCAGAGCATGAAATAACCTTGCTTCAGAAGCAATTACTAGCGATTATATTATCAGGTTGCCTGATCGAACTAAATTTAAATTCTTAATCAATGTCTATGTATAAATATATTTTGATAAATCAAGTAGTAATAACCTGCAAAGTAATTAATAATTCAGGAGAAATTAATTCACTTAATGAAGGATATATATTCTTCTGGAATGGATATTCTAAACTCATTTCAGACTTAATTTGTGGTACCCTTTCTAAAACAAATGCTATTAAATAATTTTCAAGTTAAAATTAGTACATTTTTTAGTACCTTTTCTGAAATATGGTAATCGAACTGGTCCATGAGGTTCATCCATTGGGTCATCCCCATCAAATTGAGTATTTTCTAACATTTGCATTTGTTGTATGCTTTGACAAGCTTCTTTTTTCATCTAAGTAAATTTTAACAGACACTCCAAAATCAAAACACTCAATACAAACCAAATATCACTATAATACTAACAAAAGATCCCGAACTATTGAAACCTCCGAGGTTTGAATAAGATCGAAAACCAGATGATAATCCCATGCGTGATGGACCTGATCTACCCTGGCTTGTTGAACTCATGTTAGAAAACACACTTTGTACCTAAAAATAGAACCTAATATTATACTTCTACATTTAAAATAATAGGTACTAATAATTAAATGTTATTTCTTTAAAAAATAATTATTTTGTTTATTTATGCTACTTGAATTTTGATTTTATAAAATGTAATTTTTATACACAAAATTAAAGATAATTCTTTTTAAATATAAAATATTAACTAATATGTAATGTTAATAATATTTAATAATATAGGTAATCAAAAATAATACTTAATTATAAAGTCAAATATAAACCTGTGTTGTGGATCTTTCTTTAGGTTTTTTTTGTTTTTGTGCTGACGATAATTGAGCGCTTGAATTAGCATCATGTTCAACTTTGACTTCTACTTTAGGCAGTTGATCTGAATCCTTGGCTACAATTCTAAGGAGTTAAAAAATATTTTAATGTTTAATACATATATTTTATTACAAAATAGTCAATTTTTTTTTTAAGTGTAATTTTTATTATATTTTATAACATAAATGTTTAATAACTATTAGGTATCGTGATAGCTTATAGAATTATCCATTTGTAAGGTTTGATTATTTTTCAACAGTTAAATCTCCAACCATAGAATTTGGAGATGTGGACAAATTAGCAATGTATAGGTTACATGTGAGCAATTACTGTTCCTTGAGAAACACACTCTGCAATTTTGGTAATGGGATAAGAAAAGTCCACGAGCATACAGAGAAATATTGTTCCTTTCCCTTTATATACAATTTGATTAGCTGAAAGTTTGACAGTAGAAATAAATATTTTAACTTGAGTACCTAATAAACCTTGATGCTATACCTAGTTCTCAAGTATCTGCACCACAGAATAAATAAGCACAATTTATTATATGCTTGCTTTACGTTCAGGAAAATCCATTTTTTTCTGAGGATATTTTATCAACTAATCTGTAGATATGTCGTACTGTAGTGTTTGTTCCTAAATGCAAATTGGGAATGGCTAAGATTTTTTCAATGGATGTTAAAATGAGCTAGATACAGCAAGATTTTTTTCAAATATTCATAAAAGTATGAGAGTAGATTTATTGACCTGTAATATTGAGGAAAATCTATGGGTTTGCCAGATTTGGAAATCATAGTTATAGAAAATTTGACAATGAAATAATTAATTAACCTTTTATATCCTAAATTTGGTGTAAATGATAGTTTTGCTGCCCCAAATTTGGGTAAATTTTTTGAACGTTTATCCATTTCAACTTAAACTTTAATTTAATGGCTCAGCAGTTGTTTAATTCTGTAACAGACAAATTACAGGCATATTTTATTAATAATTAATCAAAATATAATAACATGAAAAAACTCCATAATCATTATAACATTTATTTTGTTGCATGCATTTGAATTTTGAATTAAGTTTTACTTACTAGGTATCTCGTAACTTTTAGCTTTGCAGTTTGCACTTAGTTTCAAACTAACAAGTAACAACCACGGACTAAGATAATATAATGGACTGGAAACGACACGGTTGGCGGGTGACGGGGGACGGCCCGCAAAAAGTTCCTCTGTTATCATCGACACTCATAATCGAAAGTTTTCGGCGCTACCAGTGGTTTTATTTTATTCACATTTTGTATCTTAGTCCGTGTTTTATACAGATGGCGCTGTAAACTCTCGATTATGATGGCGGCCCCCCGCATTTGCCTCTTGCACATACTATTCCATTACTAATTAGCACGGACTAAGATATCTTAGTCCGTGGTAATTACTATACCATTGTCCATTATAATAATTATTATTATCTTAGGCCGTGCTTAAAACTGACAAGACGTATGAAGCATCAAGCATTGAAGCAATAAGCATTTATTATCTATATTTATCTGTGAAAAATTGCGTTATCTTATCTATTATCTATTATTATCGTTAATTTCACAGATTTTGGAGGTTATGTTGACTGATATGGGAATTTTTTAAATTAGTATTTACTATTTAGTAAATACAATTTCAAAACATCTTTTTTTTAATATAAATAATAATATGAATTAGGTTTTTCATTAGTATGTTTAATGTTTATTATTTGGTGTCTTATATTATTTACGACACTAAGATCTAAGACAGTAAATAATGTAATTTACAAAAAACCAATCGATAGATTTATAAATTGTGTACAATTATGTCAAAAGAACCTAGCACTAGCAAGGAGAAACGGAAGAATTTGCGTAAAGACGACGGTTCTAAAATACTCAAAGTCCTGACATTATATGAATACCTCATCAAACTTCCAGAAGCCGTTCAAGATCGGCTATACAGTCATCCGCCGACTTGCCTAACAGTGTTTAGAGTGTTACCTGACATTACTCAGCAGTTCACTTTACGTATATTGTTCATCGAACAGCCAGTACCGCAATCAGTTCTTTCATCCTGGGTACCTGCCAATTATTCCCGTGAACTTGACGAATCTATAGAGGTAGCCACCAATTTACACATATGGAAATTAACCAGTGTATCTGGCGGCCTCAAGGGATGGATTCTAAATTCTACGTTCAAGAAGAAACTCAAAGTGGCCCTTATGGGCGGTGGCCGTTCTACGGTACCCAACAGCGATATGACGGCTGATCCAAAAGCAAGAGATATAGACTTTTTAGATTCATATGCGTATGAACGGTGGGAATGCATATTACATTATATGGTTGGTTCTAAACATGAAGGTATATCATCAGATGCAGTCAGAGTGTTACTAAATGCAGGTCTTATGGTAAGTGACAAGTGACAATTTTATGATGTAATTTTATTAGGTACTCAATGACATTATATTTTAGGTCAGAGACACGGATGATAGTCCAGTTATTACATCGACGGGATTTCAGTTTCTACTGCTGGACATGGCCACTCAAGTATGGTATTTCATGCTCCGCTATATGGAAACAGTTGAATCGAGGGGTCTTGATCTTGCTCAATGTCTGACATTCCTGTTCCAAATACATCTTGGTACTTTAGGATGGGATTATATAACAGATGAAATGTCTGAAAACCTTCAAGCATTTTTACAACATCTTCGAGAATTTGGATTAGTTTACCAAAGGAAACGTAAAGCTGGACGTTTTTATCCTACTCGATTAGTAATTGAAATGGGGCAAGGAAATAGCCGTACTTCAGAACGAATGAAAAATAAAGAACGTTATATAGTTGTAGAAACCAATTTTCGGATTTATGCTATGACTGATTCTGATCTAAAAGTTGCCTTAGTTGCATTATTTACTCATATGCTATACAGGTAATAATCATAATGATAGTTTAAATATTTATTATTATAACCTCTGCTGTTTTAGATTTCCAAACATGTCCGCTGGTATACTAACAAGAGATTCAGTTCGAACAGCATTACGCAGTGGCATTACTGCTGCACAAATAGTGAGATTTCTTACTGTTCATACACATCCTCAAATGCAGGAGTGTGGGATGCCACAAACTGTAATTGATCAAATTTATCTGTGGGAAAATGAAAGAAATCGACTTACGTACACAGATGGTGTGTTATATAGCAATATAAATACACCTAATGATTATGAAACAATAAAAAACTATGCTGCTGATATTGGGGCATTGGTGTGGTGTGATGAAAGAAGAAGGAACATTGTTGTAAGCACTGATGGGCACGATGACGTAAGAAAGTTTTGGAAAAAACAACCAAAATCTGATCCATTTTAAGTGTAACAAGTTCTGTACACAATGTTAAATTGTTTAATTCACGTGTATGATTTGAGTAATTAGGTTATTAATTTAATAGCACTAATAATTCAAGAGCCAAAGTTTGGTTAGTTATAAGTGCAACAGAGCAATAATAATTGTGTACATATAATTCATAGTTTAAATTGTCATACTTTAAAATATTATGTATTTATTATTTTATTCTATTTATGTATTATCTTTTAAATAAATTTTTTTTTTTAATTTTTGTATGGTGTTTTTAAAACTTAATCAATTTAATACATATTACATAAAATATATAAAATACATTCTTGAATAAATAGACAGGACAAATAAAACATTATCATACTCATATTTAATTAATTTAATTACAGATGTAACATGAACATAAATAAAAGAGATAATGTGCACAATAAGTATGGTGTTACTAATAAATACACAAAAATAATTCAATATAAATGTATAACATTATATTATTGTATATAGTTTATAAAAAATAGTGGTACTTGTCTTTAGTATCTTTATATTATAATTCATTATGAAGTGATTATTTTTAATATACCAGGTGATTCACCAAGCATGCTCGCCCCCATTTGTTGTCCTTATTAATAATGAATTCATTCAAATTCAGATTTTTGGAATTTACATTTGAAAAACAAAAGTTTGCATCTCCTAAGGACAATCCTTAAACAACACAAAATATTTAAAATTTTGAAAATATGAACTTAAGTATATTTAAAAAATCGAAAAAATCAGATTTTGAATAACTGCAGTATTAAAGAAAAAAAGAGTGAGCATATTTGGTGAATCAAACTATAAATAATACAATAAAAATTATTTTTTACAATAATAATATTGCATAAAATTACAGGTCGGTTACTTATCATTTAAGATAAATCTACATAACACAATAAATCTAATTAATAGATATACTATGAGATAAAACTAAGTCTTGTTTTATCAAATTGTAAATATAACAATAATAATTTCTAGAGATCATCAGAAAAAAATCAATTATACATTTATAATATTGTTCTGTTTTCACATTTGTTAAATTTGCAATTATTGCGATATTATAAATTTGTAAATTTTTATAAAATAACCAATGTCCTATTTATTAAATGAAACATACTGATTGCTCATCAGTAGCTGAATCTTTATGTTATGCAAATTGTTAATTATTATACAATGGTGTTGCCTTAAACAATTTAAACTAACAGCTAACAATACATAGTAAAGTCTTCAGAGATGCTGTTTAATAAATGTTATTATATAGGTAAACATAGTTACATAATTGTTCGATGCTAGAGCTTAAATGAGATACTTAATCGCAATACCTATTCTATCCATTATCAAAGTTAAATTATATTTAATTTATTCATAAATTTAATGATTTGGATTGTCGTATGTGGGCAGTCCTTAATATATTATACCTATGGAAGACAATATGATTGTTTTATATGAAAAATAAACTATGTAAATAAAATGAAGTTATAAATTGGTAAAAAAAAATTAAAATATTACAATAGATAATAAAATAGATTATTGATTAAATATTGAGAAAAATTAAATTATATTTTCTGAAAATCGGAACCAAAATCTAAATTACTTTAAAAATCAACACTTGAGCGTCTATTCATAAGTTTTAAATGGTAACAAATAACAATAATACATTTCTGTCATTAGTAGAATTAATAATCATTTAAGAGGATAAAATAATATAGTTAAATGTAGTTCTTGAATTAGTTCATTTTGCTTCCAAGGCTTTTCATCATATCTTACCCTGTATTATTGCACATTATTATCATAACTATAACTTAGAACTATTACATATTTTAATAACAATTATTGAATTAATCTCAACATTATCTCAAGAATAAAAAAAAAAATATACATAAACATATAATAAGTTGCAGTTAACAAATGACTATAGGTACAATAAAAATTCTATAAACAAAAAATAATACAAATAAGTGACACTTAACATATTTTAAACAAATAATAATGTATGCAGTTAATACAAAATTAACAGATTACCTATTCAACAGTAAAACCACAAGTCTCTTCAACTGCTTGGCTGAGTTTGTCAAGTAATCTTTGTTTACTCTCATATTTTGGCAAATCAAGACGGTTAAAGCAGGTGTGCGCTTTGGGGAGATTATCAGTAGGTACATCAGTCAAGTGTATGGTAAACAAACGAGGCCCAGCTGCTCCAGTTGACCCTTAATTAAAATATATTATGTGTCAATAGATGTACATTAATTGTTTCCATTAAATAAATCATTATTTACCTTGAAGTGCCTTAAAACCTTGAAGAGGAACTCTAGAACTTCCAGTGACAAATTGTAACAGCCTGAGACGCATTTCTTGACTATAGTTTTGTTCAATTATTTCCCAAAACCATTTAACCACAGGCATGTCTGATGCACAATGCTGAATACAAAATATGAAATATTAAATTTAGAATATTGTTAACTGTTAGATTTTTAATAAGTATAAAAAAATCACTTTGAGCCTAGTATTACGCTTCCAATCTTCAATATCAATGGTGCCAATACCACTGATAATTAATTCAATCTCGCGTTCATCAAAAGGCTTTAGCAATGTTCCAGGAACTACTTCAGTTAAGCCTTTTTGCAATGCCAAAAACTGTTGTTCAATTCCTCTCATAAATCTGTACGTCACGTATAATCTAAATACATTTAAATTGTAGTTTGTATTATACTATTTAATATTAACATAATATACAAAGGTAACCATTCATTAACATACTTGACATATTCTTTTTTATTATCTTCTGTGAGCTGAATATTTTGTCCACCAGTTTTGAGCTCATGCAATTTTAATACACCAAAGCTACTTTGTTCGACCGCAAAAGTAGTATCAATTATATCTTTTTCAAGTTTATTTTCCCTACAAAAAAAAAAAAAAAAAAAAAACATAAAATAGAGTATTTAATATTTATAGAGTTACTTGGCTAATTAGTAATTACAATATATATGTGAGACTACGATGTAATTCAGGATCTACTCCTTCTATATCTTCCAGAGTAATTGGTTTGTTTAGTAACATTTTATAAAAAGGGGTTGTAAATCCTCCATCAATATAGTGTCCATGAAAAATGGCGATTCCAATTATACGACCCACAAAGTGGAAATAAGATAGGTGTTCCTAAAAATTAAAAATAATTTTTAGCTACATAATATAATATTATAGTTCCACTAAATTGTAAAAAAAACATACTGGATTAATTGAACTATCCGGATTTATTTGTAAAGTATAATTGTCTTCTCTGGAGTATTGAAATAATCCATATTGGGGATTAAGCATCTCATGGGACAATAAATACAACCACTCTCTTGCTACACCACCATAATCAAGACCTTCTTCACATCTGAACTTGACCATCAACCGTTTTCGTAGGTCCTTTGGTCGCATCTTCATCACTGCTCGATATGACTCCTATAAATTAATGATATTAGGGGTGTAGGTGCCGGTCATTTATTAAGGAGTAAAATTTAAGCAATTAATTCACATGTTGTATCGGCCTTGCGCGGAACGTGCATGTGTGTGAGAATGTAAATCGATATTAGTGTGAGTGAGCTATATTTACATGCGCTGATAAAGATATTTGCTCACACGCATGCACAAGTCAGTGCTAGACTGCAATGACTATTATTGAAGCACCATTTTGATGAACAAAAATGGTTTCACAGGAAAAACTCTCATGCCTCGTGGATATGTCGGATTTTGGTCAATTTTTTTTATCTGATAGATGAGAATATTCTGCAGGTCGGATCAAAGCTCGAATTTTTATTTTACTTTAAATAATAGTAGAAAAATACGTTTGAAAAAGGACAAATATTGTGCATATTCCAGTGTTTTCAAATGCATATTCCAGTTTCTATAATTATAATTTTCAAAATCGGGCCTTGATCCGACCTACAATATGTTCTCTTAATTAGATAAAAATAACCAACGAAATCAGACAATTCTACAGGGCTTGAGAGTTTTTCCTTTAAGACACGTTTTTGTACCAAAAAACCAGTGGTCGGGACGCTACTGTTTTTTTGTAGCACGCTAACGCTACTGTTACTCCCCAAAAAAAGTAGCTCGCTATCGCTAAAGCTATTTCTAACGCTATTGTTTAAATGTAGCGTGCTACATTTTCGCTACATTTTTTTAAAAAAATTTTTTGTTTATTTAGATATTCACTTGAGTACTTGGTCATTATTTGTTAATGCCTACCACTATTTTCTTGTAATTTCGGAAGGTAGGTTTATTAAGTGTAACTCATGTATTTTTGTAACAAAAATCAAAACAAATAAACGTTTTATTGAAAATTGCTAACTAGTTGAATATGACGTGGTGGCTTCAGGTTCTGTCATTTTTAATTCAACTATTCAAAATATTTAAAATTTAAAAGAAACACAGAAAAGTAGAAAACGCTGAATGCCGAAAACAAAAATAGTGATAATAAAATACTAATATATTAAATATTATTTATGGTTCTGTTTTCAATAATATAAAATATTACATTGTAATAATGCACTTATGATTATAGTCTAATCTATCCGGTCTTATCTTAGTCCGGTCCGGGCTAAACCCGAAAATCATGAAATAAGTTAGAAGTAGCGATAAAATAATGAACATTTTCGCTACGCTAACCGTAAATTTCTAGCGCGCTATAGTATTTCTCTACATTGTATATACTGTAGCGACGCTATGTTAATCGCTACAGCTAAAGTAGCGTGCTACTGTAGCGTCGCTACAATTAGCACGCTACTCCCGACCACTGCAAAAAACACACCAGCTCCGAGACCCTTAAGAACAAAATAATCAAGTTCAAAATATTTCATACTTCAAATATTTCTGATCTTGAAACTTCTAATCTCATATGCCCTGTTGGAGGCTGTAATGCAGCAAGTTCCGTACGTAAAATCTTCTGTTTAGCTACTAAGTCACGTTTATATTTAGGCAAACACTCTGAATCAGTCTCAATACTTTGGGGACCATCGAAAACAGGGCCAGGGCGAGGTTGAATCCTCTGTTGACTTGATGATGTTTCACTAGTATTGGGCACTCTAGTATTGATACTAGTGTTTTCTTTATTGTTCATTGAGATTTGTTCGTTTGTCGATGAGCTTTGATCATTTTGTTTCCTATAATAAATTATAAACGTATTAATCCAATAATATTAGCAATATACAATTTATTGATTTACTGTAATAAATTAGCTATCACTGCTGTTGAAAGTCTTGGATCCGAAAAAGTTGTAGTTCGATTATTATGATCTACATAATAATAGCGACCACTAGATGTTTGACGTACTTCCCAACCAGCAGGCAAAGGGCCAAGTTGTTGTCCAGAAGTGACAGTAATATTTCTTGGAATTCTCGGATCATGCCATGTACTTAAACCAGTTGGGGTATGATAAAAATAAATTTGTCCTTGAGGTGTTGTTCTTATTTCTGTTAAGTTTAAAAATTATAGTTAAATATTTTTAGTTAGATACTTGGATTAAAGTTATTTGATACTAACCATAACCTGTTGGCAAGTCTTGCGGTTGTTGAATTGAGGAACTATGAGATGATGCATGTCTGGCAGAACTAAGGGATGCTCGATTGCTAGGATTCCTATTCCTAAATATATTAGTAAATAGTTATTAATTGCCATACATTTTTATAAAAACATATAAGCAAAAGTAACTTACGTTTGTGCAGTCAAAGCAATGCTATTACCATCATTATTATTTATCACATCAGATTCATTTTGTATATCTTCTGTAGGTGTTGGTGCTGGAGGACGAGGACTACTACTACCTGTAGTAATTTTTGAAAGAGATCTAAAAATAAAATTGAAAATTATTTTTTATAAATAATACTATATATTAATTATTTGCATGAATTGTATAAATTTTTTAAAGTTCATTAATTTGTACATATTTATACTCTGTCCGGCATAAGAACATAATTCATAGCGCAGGCGACAACCGGTTCCCCACTCGCAACCTTGTCATATTTATAAACATATATTATATAGTTAAGCCCGATAGCCCGAACCTGTTTTGGTCTGCATCACGGGTATGTTCTTATTCCGGATGGAGTATATGTCTGTTTCAGGGGCATACTTAAGGGGGTGGATATAGGACAAATCCGGCCCCCATGATTCTTTAACTACATGTGTATTATTATATTATAATTATCACATTGTAATCTGTAATCTGAAATTCTTGTCATCCGCCCCCTACAAAAAATACTAAATATGCCAATGGTATATTTATAGAAATTGTAATTAAAAGGTATGGTAAGCAATGTTTTAATTTTCCCATATTTTAAAATCTTAATTTTATAACCTGACATATAGAAGTCATATTTGAGTTTATTTAGATGGCTGATAAGATCAGACCTAATAATTTTGTACTGCCAATCAAAAAAATTCTAACTTATTTATGTCGATAGTTACTAGGTACCAACTAAATTTGTTATACATTTATAAATTAAAATTATATCACTTACTTTGTAGGTTTAACCCATTGAGTAGTTTTGGTTTTATGATTTACATAATATAATCGTCCATTTTCTGTTTTTCTTTCCTCCCATCCATCTGGCAACGGAGATGGTTGTTGAGATGATACTCCTGCTGTACCATCTTGAGATAATAAAGATAACACTAATTGACCTCTAATTGGTACTGGATCATCTGGATTTAATTTAATTAAATCTAATTTTTGATCTGTAAGTTAAGAATTTTTAACAAATAGAATGTAATCACTTATTTCAACAAAGAAAATGTAAGTCACTATATTATATACTTACAACCAGTGTCTTTGTATCTCTGAATTTGATTCCATGATAATCTTACACACCCAAGGAAACCACTAGTAGGTTTTTGAATATTTTTGTGAATTTTTTTATGGTTCCACAAGGTAATTGTTACATGATCACCTTTACTTAAATATCTATAAGTAATTTTAAATTATCATGATTTTTACAATTAGATATAAATATATAATAGGTAGTAATAATATTATTTAACTAATTTCTTTACAAATCATAATGTTGATTCCACTGAGGGTCACAGGTTGGTTTACAGGTATCTGTTGTATAACATTGTCCAGACCCGTCCACACTTATCTTAGCAAATGCATCAGGTGGTAAACCTATTAAAACCCATAATTTAACCGATACAATATAATATGTTTATAATCAAGATATGTTAAATATATGAATTATATATTTATAATTTATAAATAATTTTTAAGTAAATTAAAATAAAACTTACGAAATAAATCTTTTTTCAACAAATTCTGAGCGCAAAGGACTGAAACCAAATGTAAATCATTGTATGAATTATATTATTATTTATACCTATATACCTATTTATACCTATATAAATACATGTTTATACATACAAAACAAAATACATTAGTATAATTCCTACATTAAACTTAAGCAGGCCAAAATTAGTTATTTCTGTGGTAATAGGTTATTAATATGGTGCATAAATGTAATATTATGTATCCTATAATTTGTAGGTAGGTTCTAAAAAAACTAATTATGTCAACAAAAATACACTTGGTTTAAGGGAAGCTATGGCATCTACATGACAACAACTTTTAGTTAAGTACAACATTTTATATTATTATTATAGAAATAATAAGTATAGCCTGTATATATCTGTATCCCAAAGGTAAAGGATACCATGTCCTTTTTTTACGAAATTGAGTTAGCTCCATGTCGTTATTGTTCGTTTTTCGCTCTATGTCTAGGTATACGGCACTATGTCCAGTTATCATTAGTAATGGGAATAAGACTATGAAAAAAATAAAACCATGTCCACTTTTTTTAGAGGTAAAGATGGTGTTCTTTAGATTTATCTCCTGTAAAATTACTATTTTGTGACATGGCGTCGTTAACCTCCGGAGTACAGATATTTAGGCATTACAAATTCTTGAACAAACAGACAAAAGTATATATATCCAAAATAACAATAAAACATATTATGGAATGTTGTAGGTAAGTTACCTACATGGCTACATAAAATAATTGCAAATTGACACACCATAACAAATTTAAAACTAATATTATTCAAAACTTATTTGTGAAAATATAAGATCAAGTAAATCACTTAAAAAAGTATAAAACAGATAAAATAATAAATTTAATTAATTAATAAAAATAATATTTCATTACAAATCAAGATGTTTAACTCACCTGTTAGTCGGATCTTAGTCGTTCCTCCAGTTCGCCTGCTACCTGAAGATCCTGACATATTTGACATATTTGATACTCATTAGTCATTAATTATTATGATAAATCTACGTTTGAAAAATTAAAAAGCATTTGGCGTAATAAAAATATTTTACTACACAAAAAATGAACACATAATGATTAGCAGCACTATTTTCTCCTAGCTATTTTTTAAATTTTTTTTATCACAGACAATAAATTAAATGTGAATATTACGCTCGAGTTTTGTAATTTCTACATAATTCGTCTAGTTTCCCGTAATTTCACTTATTTTATACGCTCCGAACTATTATACTACTATAGTAAATGTACTACCTATAGGTAGGGTCGTAGTATGAATCATTTAAGACTAATAATTGAATGTTTTGTTATGAAATAATCACAGTGCAGTTATCTATAGTATGATCCTAACTTGAATATTTCCCCTCAAGTTGGCGCATGCATGGAAAATAAACAAATACTGTTTTTTTCCATGATTCGGTGACGCAATTTATATACCCAGCAATAAATTCTATAGACTATAGTCTGTTCTTGGCAAGAACTTCTTGCACACGGGCGACACAGCACACTGACGACTCACGACTGGCACTACTGGCACTGCTGACTGCAGTAGTGCAGCATTGCAATTTGCAGTGCACTAGTTGCATCATTTCAATTGATAACATTGTCAATAATTAGAACAATTATCTTATTTTCCTATGAAATTCGGTCTGCCCAAAAATGAGTTGGGAATAAACTATTTTCATCAATAAACGTGTCTACAATAAAATCCGTAAAATGATCAACATTAGTCAGTGAATTGGCCATGAGAGCTATAAAACCATTATTCACGTCATGTCCCCTCAGTGTCACTGTTCAGTGTTCCCTATAATTTTTAACACGACGAAATTTGGTGAAAAAGTGAAAACAACAACTAATTACATGACAATTTTGAAAAAATTGCAATAGGACCTACATTAGGTAGGTCCGTACTCCGTAGCCCATTGTAAACCGCTTTTCAAGGTCTGAATGTATCATTCAAATAAACAGAATCTAGGAAAAAAAAGCAACCGAAAAAAAGCAATGAAAAAAAAGCAAAAGGAAAAAAATCACGAGGAAAAAAAAGCAAATGAAAAAAAGGCATAGGTACCTACAGGCATATGTGTATAACGTATAAGTATAGCAAAAACCAATATGCCGTATAGTTAATTAGTAAGTAGGTAGGTATAGTAAATAATAATTAAAAATAATTTAATGTAATTAAAAAATGTACACTTAATAAGTTAAAAAAAAATTCCAAGTATAAAATTAAATGCATATTGGATAATATGCGTCAATATAAAACATAAATTTATCATAAAACAATTTATAAAGTATACCTACCTTGTGGTATGAGATATAGCTAATAAAAAATTTGGTAGATCACGTTGCTTATCTCTATACTCTTCACATATTTTTTAGATTCTGAGTGAAACGATGAATGTATTGATTTTACAATGATGTGTGTTTTTTTTTTGTGTCTGTGTACACGATAAGTAGTCGAAATAATGCTTCAATTTTCGACTTCAGTATCTTGTTCGATTGGAAAGTGAATATCGTTGGTGCATCGGGGAGGTCAAAATTTAAAATTCACAGTACTTTTCAAAAGCGCCAAGAAAAACAAAAGAAAAATTAAGGAAAAACAGGAATTTTTACGCAAAATCTGTTTTCGAGAAAATCGATTTTGGTTTTTGGTGTAACTTTAAAACAAATGACCGTAGATACATGAAATTTTCACTGGTTGTTTATATTTGCATTTTCTGTACACGATAACTTTTTCAAAATATTTTGATTTATTTCACAGTTTAGGGACATTTTCATTTTTCATTTTTTTTTAGTTTTTTTTCTAGAAATATCAATAAAATTTTATTTGTTGGTTAAAAAAACTTGAAAATTTAATAGAAGGCTGCTAGTATATTGTTTCAAAGGCAGATGAAAAATATTAAAAACCGTTAGTCACAGTTTTTTTTTATAAACATTTAAAGTTCAAAAATTGACAAAATATGGAAAAATCACGAAAATTAGCAAATTATTTTGAGTTAAGAATTCGTAAAAATTTTACTTTTTAAATCTAAGATTTGAAAATGTAATACAAGGAGACTCATAACTCATAAGTTTGTCTACCTTAATCAATAAAAATATCTCTACCGGAAAGTCAAATTAAATTTTTATGAGCGTTTGAAATTCAAATTTTCACAACATTTGATGTTCACTCGATTTTCCATGTAGCGATTTCCTTATTTTGTTGTAATTCAAAAACGAGTAAATGTAGATGCATCAAAATTTCACTGAATGTTCATATTAGCATTTCCTATACACTGTACAATTTTGACTCTTTTTGAGCTGTTAACGAACATTTTCAGTTTTCAATTTTTTTAGTTTTTTTTTCTTCTATGAATATCAATAAAGTTTTATCTGTTGGGCCAAAAAGTGTAAAAAATTAATACAAGGCTCCTGATATATTGTTACAATATCAGTTGAAAAATGTTAAAAATACATAGGCACAATTTTTTTTTATAAGCATTTAAACATCGAATTTTGACAGAATTTTTCAAAATCTCGAAAATTATTAATCATCGTAATTAATAAATTATAAAATGTTCAGTTTTTTATAGCTAAGGATTGAAAATTTAAAACAAGATTCCACGTAAGTAGTTAATTCTCTTACTGAAAAATCTAAAAAATATACAATCACAGTTTATTTTTATAGTCATTTTATGTTCAAATTTGGACGAAATTACATATTAAAAAACCTAGTTATTTTGTTGTGATTATATAATATTATTCGTGGGTACCTACTTGAAACTTCTGAGGTACACTATATTATATATCTATGATAGTATCAGGGTTTGTTATTGATGTTGATGTATAACGTGTTATAAGTACCTAATGGATATTGTGATAATGTGATATGATTAATTTGGAATTTATTATACCTATGTCAATTTTTTATTTAATACCATAGATATGTATATAATTTGTTTTAAACCTAGACTGACATACCGTCTTCGCTCAGAATCGTTTTTCTTATACAATGATATTGTATCATTGAATTCAAATTTAATAGCATCCATTATACAGTGACCCACTTGTAACCTACTGTACAGCAGAGCGACATCCACTTACCCACCTTTTTTAAATTGAATTGCATTTTTTCATACTTCTTAAGTTTTTTTTTGGTTGAACAGTGCCTAATAACCGTTGCTGGAGTTTTGTCTCATCGGCTGCAACTTCCAGTGTCATTTTCTTAATGAGGTTCCAAATAGAAGGGTGCTTATGGCTTACCAACATAGAAAATTTTTATTATAGTCGTATTATTTGTCAATTGTTGTCCTTTACGATTTGACGAGTCATATAGGAGGTATATAATCTCAAATAATCACTTACTTAGTGACCAAGTGCCACGTTGTTTCTAATCATTTGTCGGGGAAAGCGGCACGAGCTTAAAATAGTCTGCTATATATAACATATTAAGTAATAGTTAAACTTTATAATGGGAGAAAAGATGGGAAAAGGAAGAAAGGGCTAAACTGCCTAAACTACAAAAAACCACGTATATATTTTACACTGCTCAGTGATTAAGTAAAATATTATACAAGTAATTATCTTGAGTTATTAAAAAAACAAAAACGTGTGCTTTTTTTCATATGCTTTTTTTTCCGTTTGCTCTTTTTTCATTTGTTTTTTTTTCTTTTGCCTTTTTCTCACTGCTTTTTTTCCGTTGCTTTTTTTTCAATTGCTTTTTTTTCCCAATACCAAATATACATGTACTTATTGTATACGAAAAGTTCTATCAGCAAAAACATGCTTTGAACCAGGGCCGTATTAAGGGACAAGTAGGTATTACGAACACAAGGTCTGTAAACAGCGTTCTCTCTACGATTTTAGATATTCCGACAGTTGACATCGTAAATTCGTAAAAGTAATAATTAATATCTGGGGCTTGGGCCAATCTCACTTTTTGGCGAAAATGAGTAATATGGCCAATCTTATAAAACTTTATATGCTTTTTCTAATAGTAAAAGGGCGTATCACAATAATCATTAGTGCGAGATATGAGAAGGCCAATGTCATGAAAATTACAAAATCTATGGGGCCTATGTGAACATTGGCCCCTTTTTGTTTAAATAAAGTAATTTGTTTAAGAGTTAAACTAAAAACCAAAATCGATTTTTTCGAAAACCGAATTTGTGTAAAAATTCCCGTTTTTCCTTAATTTTTCTTTTGTTTTTCCGGTCGCTTTTGAAAACTATTGGGAATTTTTTACTTTTGACTGCCCAAAGTACCAACTAGATTCACTTCTCTATCAGAAATGAATAAATAATACTGTTGAAGAAAATCTAAGCATTTTTAGTTTTTACTGTCCTAAAACTTGACGACATAGACACACAAATTAAAAAAAAACCACACTTCATTGTAAAATTAATACATTCATCGTTTAACTCAGAATCTAAAATAAATAAAATAGGTACTTAACTTTATCAACAATATTATAGAACAAAATGTCTTAAACAATTTAAATATGTAGTACCTAATGGCTAAATAATAATCATCTATTAATTAATACAGATTAATATGTACCTACTACCTATATCTAATGTTAGAATATCCAAAATTATACATTAATATATTATTAACTAATAAAGAAATAACTACAATAATTAGAAAATATAAAATGTAGGTAAATAATACTTGGGTAGATAATTTTTATCGAAAGTATGTATAATTATTGTACTTACCATTCTCCGTTCTCGGTTCTTAAGTTTTTTGGGTTATTAAAATAACTTATTACAGCTCTCTTCATTATTTATTGGTTCTTACACTTGTGCCTTGTGAACAATATGAACTGTATATACAATATAATATACTGCGACGTTAACACGCTGCGTGATCAATACTCAAACTCAATAGAGAATAATATTATATCGGGACATATTATTTTGTTAGGATTGTTTATTTTATTTTATTGGCTCACTATATTATAGTATTGTCTGTAGTCATAGAGTATACTCT